AGAACAGGAGTCTTGCTCAATTGCCCAGGCTGGAATGCCATCTAAAAATAGGTATTAAAAACCTCTTTTATGCCGATAATTGTACTTAACAGTTGAGACAGGAAGGAATAAGGGAAGAAAGTAACAAACAAACAGCCAACCAATATTTCATTTAAATCCGCGAAATGCTATGCAAATGCTATGCAAATGCTGAAGAGTGATTTACTTTCATTTATGTGGTCACTTTCAAAAATAGGTATAATCAAGAGCGGAAAATCAAACACTGCATGTTCTCACTCATAGGCGGGTGTTGAACAAGGAGAACACATGGACACAGGGAGGGGAGCACTACACACTGGGGTCTGTTGGGGGGGAATGGGGGAGGGACGGGGGGTGGGGAGGTGGGAAGAGGTAGCATGGGGAGAAATGACAGATACAGGTGAGGGGAAGGAAGGCAGCAAACCACACTGCCAAGTGTGTACCTATGCAACAATCTTGCATGTCCTTCACATGTACCCCCAAACCTAAAATGCAATAAAAAAAAAATTGTGTACTGAAAAACAAAAAAAACAAAAATAGGTGTAATGTGATACTGAAAAAAATGTATGTTCTGTGGACCTGGGGTGAATAATTCTATAAATCTTCACTGAGTTTACTTGTTCCAGGTCTGAGTTCAAATAATAAATGTCCCTGTTAATTTTCTATTTCGTTGATCCGTCAAATATTAACAACGTGGTGTCAGAGTCTCCCGCTATTACTGTGCGGGAGTTCAAGTCTCTTTATAAGTCATTAAGAACTTGTCTTACTTACCTGGGTGCTCCTATATTGGGTGCATATATATTTATGATCATTGACTCCTGCTGTTGCATTGATCCTTTTACCATTATGGAATGTCCTCCTTTGTTTCTTTTAGTCTTTGTTACTATTAAAGCTTATTTTGTCAGAGATGAAAGTTTTTTTTTTTTTTTTTTTTTTTTTTTTTTTTTTTTTTTTTTTTTGAGACAGAGTTTCGCCCTTGTTACCCAGGCTGGAGTGCAATGGCGCGATCTCGGCTCACCGCAACCTCCGCCTCCTGGGTTCAGGCAATTCTCCTGCCTCAGCCTCCTGAGTAGCTGGGATTACAGGCACGCACCACCATGCCCAGCTAATTTTTTGCACTTTTAGTAGAGACGGGGTTTCACCATGTTGACCAGGATGGTCTCGATCTCTCGACCTCGTGATCCACCCGCCTCGGCCTCCCAAAGTGCTGGGATTACAGGCTTGAGCCACCGCGCCCGGCGTTTTTTTTTTTTTTTGCTCTCCATTTGGTTGGTGAGTCTTCCTCCAACCATTTGTTTTGAGGGTTTGTGTGTCCTTGCTTATGAGACGGATCTGGATACATCGTGCCCGACGGGTTTTGACTTTTTATTCAATTTGCGTGTCTGTGTCTTTGATTGGGGCGTTTAATCCATTTAAATTTAGGATTAATAGTGATATTTGTGAGTTTAATATTGTCATTTAATGCTAGCTGGCTATTTTGCACATTAGTTGATACAGATTGTTCATTATGAAGATACTCTTTACCTTTTGGTAAGTTTTTGGGATGACTGATACTGGTTGTTCCTTTCTGTGTGTAGTGGTTCTTTCAGAAGCTCTTGTAAAGCAGGCCTGGTGGTGATGAAATCTCTGAGTGCTTGCTTGTTCGCGAAAAATTTTACTTTTCCTTCATTTATGAAGCTTGGTTTGGCTGGATATGAGATTCTGGGTTGAAAATTCTTTTCTTTGAGGATATTGAATATTAACCCCCACTCTCTTCTAGTTTGTAGGGTTTCTGCTGAGAGATCTGCTGTGAGTCTGATAGGCTTCCCTTTATGGGTAACCTGACCTTTCTCTCTAGCTGCCCTTAGAATTTTCTCCTTTATTTCAACCCTGGTGAATCTAACGATTATGTGTCTTGGGGTTGCTCTTCTTGAGGAATATCTTTGTGGTGTTCTCTGTATTACTGGAGTTGAGTTTTGACCTGCCTTACTAGGTTAGGGAAGTTTTCCTGAATAATATCCTGAAGAATATTTTCCAGCTTGGATTCATTCTCTTCATGACATTCAGGTACACCTATCAAACGCAAATTAGGTCTTTTCACATAGTCCCATATTTCTTGGAGACTTTGCTCATTCCTTTTTTCTTTTTCTTCTCAAATCTTGTCTTCTCGTTTCATTTCATTAAGTTGGTCTTCGACCTCTGATATCCTTTCTTCTGCTTGATCAATCTGAGTGTTAAAACCTGTGCATACTTCACGGAGTTCTCGTATTGTATTCTTCAGTTCCATTAATTCACTTATATTCATCTCTAAATTGTCTATTCTTGTTAGGATTTCGTCAAACCTTTTTTCAAGGTTGTTAGTCTCTTTACATAGGGCTAGAACATGTTCTTTTAACTCACAGAAGTTTCTTATTATCCACCTTCTGAAGCCTAATTCTGTTGTTGGAACGCACTTGTTCTCCATCAGGCCTTGTTCCCTTGTTGATGAGGAACTGTGATCCCCTGTAGAGGGAGAGGCATTCTGATTTTGAGTATTCTCAGCCTTTTTAGCTGGTTTCTTCCCATCATTGTAAATTTTATCCACCTGTCATCTTTGTAATTACCAACTTTCAAATTAGGTCTCTGAGTGGACGTCCAACTTGTTGATTCCCAGCGCCGAAATCTGAGCAATCCACTGTGCCGGCTAAAACAGCGGCATTAAGATTCTTGGTGCTTTTGTGCCCAGGAATCTCTGGTCTGGCTTCCCTCTTGAGTGCCTTTTTCAATCAGCTGAATGGGCGACTCTGCCTTCCCGGAGCTCCAAACATCGACCGAAAGGGGACCCAGTCCCGTTTACTCCGCACCGAGAACTGCTGTGCCGGCCACAAGAGTCGCGCTGGCGACCCGTGGGGCTCCTCCACCGGGAATCTCCTGATCCGTAAGCAACAAAAATTCGTCTGAAAGCGTGGCGTCCTCTCTTTCTCTGTGCTTTCACTGCGAGCTACAATCCTGAGCTGCTAGTAATCAGCCATCTTGGATCTCTCCTCCAATTTTTAAATTTTTTTGTAGAGACAGGGTCTCACTGTTTTGCCCAGGCTGGTCTCTAGTCTCAAGCAGTCCTACCATCTTGGCCTCCAAAAAGCACTTGGGATTACCAGCCACTGCACCTGGCCACCAACCTGCAGTCTTATCATCACTGAGTTCGTGTCTACCTGCATCCTGGCCAATACTCCGTACCACCAATCTTTCACATTTTTCTTGGGTGGGCACAGTGGCTCACACCTATAATTCCAGCACATTGGAAGGCCAAGGCAGGCAGATCACTTGAGCCCAGGAGTTTGAGACCAGCCTGGGCAAACGTTATATAAACACTATACAAAAATTAGCTGGGCTTGGTGGCACGTACCGGTAGTCCCAGCTACTCCAGAGGCAAAGGTGGGAAGGTCACCTGAGCCCGGGAGGTTGAGGCTGCAGTGAGCCAAAATTGTGCAGCTGCGTTCCAGCCTGGCTGACAGAATGAGACCCTGTCTCAAAACAATTCTTTTTTTTTTTTTTTGGTCAATATTTGAGTCATAGTTTTGGTTAGCATTTCCCTTATTACTAGTGAAGCAGAACATGTTTTGAAATGTTTGCTGGCTGTTTGTGTCTCTTCCTCTGTGACCTGTCTTTCTCAGTGATTTGCCAATAGGCATTTGCAGTTCATTTGTTCGTTCTTTCGTTCTTTTTTTTTTTTTTTTTTTTTTTTTTTTGAGACGGAGTTTCGCTCTTGTTACCCAGGCTGGAGTGCAATGGAGCGATCTCGGCTCACCGCAACCTCCGCCTCCTGGGTTCAGGCAATTCTCCTGCCTCAGCCTCCTGAGTAACTGGGATTACAGGCACGTGCCACCATGCCCAGCTAATTTTTTTGCACTTTTAGTAGAGACGGGGTTTCACCATGTTGACCAGGATGGTCTTGATCTCTCGACCTCGTGATCCACCCGCCTCGGCCTCCCAAAGTGCTGGGATTACAGGCTTGAGCCACCGCGCCCGGCTCTTTCGTTCTTTCTTTCCTTCTTTTTCTTTCTTTTTTAAATTTTCTTTCCTTTTTTTTTTTTTTTTTTTTTTTTCATGGAGTCTCTGACACCCAGACTGGTGTGCAGAGGCACGATCTCGGTTCACTGCAACCTCCTCCTACCAGGTTCAAGCCATTCTCGTGCCTCCGCCTCCTGAGTAGCTGAGATTATGAGTACGTGCCACCACACCTGCCTAATTTTTTGTATTTTTAGTAGAGATGGGGTTTCACCATGTTGGCCAGGCCCGTCTCAAACTCCTGACTTAAAGTGATTACAGGTGTGAGCCACCACATCCAGCCATTTGCAGTCCATTTGCAGCCATTTGCAGTCCTTCACCTAACTCTCCAGTTGCCATTGTTGCCAGTTATAGAATTTTAGGTTTGAAATGGTTTTCTGTTGGAATTCTGTAGACAATGTTCCACTGCCTCTGAGACTCCATGGTTGCTAGTGAAAAGCCAGGTGCCATCTTGATTTCTGATCCTTAGTATATGACCTGTTATTTTCTTTCTGAAATTGTGTCAGATCTTCTCTTCGCCCCTGATATTCTGAAATCCAGTCATTCCATGGGTCTCTGTGCATTGACCATCCTAGATACCTTTTTAATCTAGAGACTCATATATTTCAGTTCTGGATGTTTTCTTGTTTTTCTTTTTAAAATAATAATTTCTTCCCCTTTGTTCTCTGTTTTTGAACTTTTGTTTGAGGTTAGACTCCCTAGATTGATCCTCCAAACGTGTTTGTTTTTCTTTCTTTCTCTCTTTTCTTTCCTTTGCTCTAGTTTATTTCCCTTGATTTCAATCTAAGACGCTTCTACTGGAAGGTAAATTTCAGCTGTTATAGTTTTAATTTCCCAGAGCTTTCTGTGTTTCTCTGGAAGGATGCCAAGCTAGGGAGGTCAGGGGCATATAAAAGTGGTCTGGACTCCTGATCGTCTCCTTCCTTTTTCTCTGAGAGCTACCGCTGAGGTTCCTCATGGTTCCTCCAGTCTGGACTCTGGTGCTATTGGTGGGGGCTGCCTGGGGCCAGGGCCACATGCCTGCCCCTCTCAGGTAAGCTGGGCCTAGGGGGTAATGATAAACCGGGGTAAGTTGAGAGTGGCTCTAAAGAATATGGAAGGGCAGAACTGGAGGGGCGAGCAGACTAACTACAAAAGACCTGGAGAGTGGCCGGGCGCGGTGGCTCATGCCCGCAGTCCCAGCACCTTGGGAGGCCAAGGCAGGCAGATCATGAGGTCAAGAGATTGAGACCGTCCTGGCCAACATGGTGAAAACCCGTCTCTATGAAAAATACAAAAATTAGCCAGGCATGGTGGCTTACACCTGTAATCCCAGCACTTTGGGAGGCCAAGGCAGATGGATCATGAGGTCAGGAGTTTGAGACCAGCCACGAGCTCAGGAGTTTGAGACCAGCCTGGCCAACATGGTGAAAGCCTGCCTCTACTAAAAATACAAAAATTAGCTGGGCGTGGTGGTGCACACCTGTAATCCCAGCTACTGGGGAGGCTGAGGCAGGAGAATCGCTTGAACTCAGGAGGCAGAGGTTGTAGTGAGCTGAGATCATGCCATGGCACTCCAGCCTGGGTGACAGAGCAAGACTCTGACTCAAAAAAATACAAAAATTAGCTGGGCGTGGTGGTGCATGCTGTAGTCCCAGCTACTCGGGAGGCTGAGGCAGGAAAATCACTTGAACCTGGAGATGGAGGTTGCACGGAGCTGAGATCGTGCCACTACACTCCAGCCTGGCCTGGAGACACAGCAAGGCTCCATCTCAAAAAAAAAAAAAAAAAAAAAAAAAAAAAAGACCTGGAGAGGAAGGTGGGAGCCTAGTGGGATGGAAAGAGGTTGATCTTGACCGATGAACAGGAATGGGGAGAACTGCACAGCCCCAGAGCCTGGAATTAAGGAATGGGTTCTGGGAGCAGGATAGGGCTACAATGTGAGGAGGGACAAGGGAGGTGTAGAACTGGAAGACAGATCTAAGGCTAGGAGAGAAGGATACGAGGGTCAGGCCCTCAGGAAATGGGCAAGACCCAGGGTAGACCCAGCTGATGAGAGAGACTTCAAGTACAAGGCAGCAAAGAAATAATGATGTCAGGCCAGGCATGGTGGCTCAGGCCAGGCACAGTGGCTCATGCCAGTAATCCCAGCACTTTGGGAGGCCTAGATGGGCAGATTACCTGAGGTCGGGAGTTCAAGACCAGCCTGACCAACATGGTGAAACCCCATCTCTACTAAAAATACAAAAGTAGCTGGGCATGGTAGCTCATGCCTGTAATCCCAGCTATTTGGGAGGCTGAGGCAGGAGAATCACTTGAACCTGGAAGGCGGAGGTTGCAGTGAGCTGAGACCACATCATTGCACTCCAGCCTGGTCAACCAGAGCAAAACTTGGTCTCAAAAGAAAAAACTGATGGATGCCTTGGTGTCCTGTACTGTGTTTGGAAGGATTTAAACAAGTAGAACTTCAACAACAAAAATAGAAAGGCTGTGCGCGGTGGCTCTCACCTGTAATCCCAGCCGTCTGGGAGGAGGATCGCATGAGGCCAGGCATTCAAGATTAGTCTGCACAACATAGAAAGACCCCGTCTCTACAAAAACTAAAACTAAATTAGCTGGGCGTGGTGGCATGCTCCTGTAGCCCCAGCTACTTGGGAGGTGGGAGGGTTGTTGGAGTTCAGAGGTTTGAGGCTGCAGTGAGCTGTGATTGCACTACTGCACTCCGGTCTGGGTGCTGGGGGAAGAAAAAAAGAGAAAAAGTCAAGTTACATACATTCACTGCATAAACACTGGCCATCCTTATGTGACCACTCAGAAAACTTAAAATCATTGAGTCTTATAATTTTTGATAATGACAAAGGTTGCATGTTTGCTTTCTCCCAACCACCCCTAAGGAGAGAGAAGCCTCCGGACCAGCAGCTGGTCATTCACAGCTCTAGGGACAAGGGTGAGTTGGAAACCAGGAGTGCTAAGATTTCTTCTCCCTCCTCAGAACCCACGTTCTGCCACCAGAACGCCAGTCCCTGAGTTCCTAGCCCAGGAGCGGCCATTTCCAGTCTCCTGCGAGCATCAGCCAGAACTACAGAACGGGTCCTGCCAGGCCAAGTCCAATCCTCCTCCAACCCCTGACCTTATTTCATCCATTCTCCCAGTCCCGAATTTCTCCTAAAAGATTCTTTCAAATTTCTGCCTGGACCGGGCACTGTGGCTCATACCTGTAATCCCAACACTTAGGGAGGCCGAGGTGGGAGGATGGCTTGAGGCCAGGAGTTTGAGAGCAGCCTGGGCAACACAGTGAGACCTCGTCTCTACAAAAAACGAACCGTCTCTGTTCTGGACTCCAAGTCCAGAGACAGCGTTTTCTTTTGTTTTCTTTTTTTTGAAACGGAGTCTCCCTCTTTCACCCAGGCTGAAGTGCAGTGGCATGATCTCGGCTCACTGCAATCTTCGCCTCCTGGATTCAAGCAATTCTCCTGCCTCAGCCTCCTGGGTAGCTGGGATTATGCGTGTACATCACCACACTGGGCTAATTTTTGTATTTTTTATATGTATTTAAAAAAAACATGGAATGCTTCACGAATTTGCATGTCATCCTTGCACAGGGGCCATGCTACTCTTCTCTGTATTGTTCTAATTTTACTATATGTACTGCCGAAGTGAGCACTAATTTTTGTATTTTTAGTAGACATGGCATTTCACTGTGTTGGTCAGGCTGATCTCAAACTCCTGACCTCGTGATCCACCTGCCTTGGCCTCCCAAAGTTCGGGGATTACAGGTGTGAGCCACCGCACCCGGCCTTTTCTCTCTCTCTCTCTCTTTTTTTTTTGAGATGGAGTCTCAATCTGTTGCCCAGGTTGGAGGTCAGTGGCTCGATCTTGGCTCACTGCAACCTCTGCCTTCCAGGTTCAAGTGATTCTCCTGCCTCAGCCTCCCGAGTAGCTGAGATTATAGGTGTGCGCCACCACACCCAGCTAATTTTGTGGTAGCTTTCTCTAAGCTTAGCAATCTTGCTACTTCCATCTCCCCATGTGACTCTGGGCCCTGCCCCTGCCCTCTCTGAAACCTCAGTGACCCATTCTTCCTAGACATCCTTACCCAGTGTGATTTTGAAGATGACACCAAACCCCTCTGTGACTGGTCCCAAGTGTCTGCAGATGATGGAGACTGGGTTCGAGCCAGTGGGCCCTCTCCTGCCGGCACCACTGGGCCCCCCGGGGGGTACCCCAATGGAGGTGAGGTGCTCGGGTCAGTGAGCAGGGAGGTGGCTGGGAGGTAGGGGTGGCAAGAGAAGTGGATAGGTGGGGGCAGCCCTCGGGGGCGGCTGGGCCTTAGGGTCATGGGCTCTGCCTCCCACAGAGGGCAGCTATCTGCATATGGAATCGAACAACTTTCACCGGGGTGGAGTGGCCCGCCTGCGCAGCCCTGACCTGTGGGAGCAAGGACCTCTCTGCGTGAGCTTCGCCTACCGCATGTTCGGGCTGTCTTGGGGTGCCCAGCTCAGGCTGCTGCAGCTCTTGAGTGAACAGGGCCACCGCCCCCACGTGCTTTGGAAACACAGGAACACCGAGAGACCCTCCTGGATGCCCACTAGTGTCACTGTGCCTGCAGGGTTCACCCTGCCCACCCGGGTAAGGCCAGGGGCAAATCATGGGATCTTGGCGGGAATCTGGGTGTTGGGGAGTCTGGGGCTGGGGATGTGGCAGAAGGGGATTGTGGGGGCCAGGCCATCTGAATTCAGGAAGGAAACTAGGGGCCAGGGTCCCCTTACCCTCCTCTTACAGCTGATGTTTGAAGGAACACGGGGTAACACTGCCTACCTGGACATCGCCCTGGACAGCCTCTCTATCCGCCGGGGCTCCTGCAACCGCGGTGAGTCCCTGTCCCTCCTCCTCCCACCTGCCCTTGGACCCTTTTCTCTCCACCCTTGCACAACCCAGAGTGGCAGGAGCCGCTCATGGGCCAGGATTCTGGTTGCTTCCTCTGCCTCCGCCCTCCACAACTTTAACTCTGGAAACAGCCACGCCTAAAGAGAAAGAGATCTCGGCCCAGCACAGTGGCTCAGGCCTGGAATCCCAGCACCTTAGGGGGCCCGGGTGGGAGCATGGCCTGAGGCCAGGAGTTTGAGATCATCAGTCTAGGCAACAGTGAGACTCCCCATCTCTACAAAATACATACATACATACATATATATATATATATATATATATATATATATGTGTGTGTGTGTGTGTGTGTGTGTGTGTGTGTGTGTGTGTGTAATTTTTTTTTTTTTTTTTTTGAGATGGAGTTTTGCTCTCGTCAGCCAGGCTGGAGCGGAACGCGGTGGCGCGATCTCGGCTCACTGCAACCTTCGCTTCTCGGGTTCAAGTGGTTCTCTTCCCTCAGCCTCCCAAGTAGCTGGGATTATAGGCACCTGCAACCACGCCCAGCTAATTTTTGTATATTTAGTAGAGGTGGGGTCTCGCTGTGTTGGCAAGGCTGGTCTAGAACTCCTGACTTTACGTGATCCGCCCACCTCAGCCTCCCAAAGTGCTGAGATTACAGGCATGAGTCACTGTGCCTGGCCGAAAAATTTTAAAATTACCTGGGCATGGTGGTGCACACCTGTAGTCCCAGCTACTTGGGAGACTGAAGTGGAGGGATTACTTGAGCCCAAGAATTCGAGCTGCAGTGAGCTATGATCACACTACTGCACTCTAGCCTGGGTGACAGAGACCCTGTCTCTAAAAAAGAAAAAAATACATATCTTCCCTTCTTTCTTTCCTCTCAGTCTGTATGATGCAAACATGCAGCTTTGACATTCTAAATGACCTCTGTGGCTGGACCTGGATCCCAACTGCCTCCGGGGCCAAGTGGACTCAGAAGAAGGGGCCGTCGGGAAAGCCAGGAGTGGGGCCTGATGGCGACTTCTCTAGCCCTGGCAGTGAGTAGCAGCCATGCTTCTGTCCCTTGACTTTCTGAGTGCCACACGCCCTGCCATAATTGCCCTGGGACAGTCTGGCATGAACTCCTACAGCTTCAAGCCTCTTACCAGCTCATGTTTCACTCAGGAAGCTGATTCCAGGCACCCAGCCAACCTCCCCAGTCACCATCCTGCAAGCTCTACCTAGCAGACCCAACACAGCCAGTCGCTCATCTCCTTTCCCTGGTGCCTTTCCTCCTCCTCCTCTTCCTCCTCCTCGTCCTCCTCTTCCTCCTCCTCGTCCTCCTCCTCGTCCTCCTCCTCGTCCTCCTCTTCCAACTCCTCCTCCTTTTTCTGAGGCAGAGTCTTACTCTGTCGTTCAAGCTGGAGTGGAGTGGCACGATCTTGGCTCACTGCAACCTCTGCCTCCGGGGTTTAAGCACTCCTACTGCCTCAGCCTCCTGAGTAGCTGGGACTGCACGTGTATACCGCCACACCTGGCTAATTTGTATAGTTTTGGGAGAGACTGGGTTTCATCACGTTGGCCAGGCTGGTCTGAAACTCCTGACCTCAAGTGATCCACCTTCCTCAGCCTCCCAAAGGGCTGGGATTACAGGCATGAGCCACCACCTCCGGCCCCTTTCATTCTTCATTCATTCAAGAAATACTGAGTGCCCGCAGTGTGCCAGGTGCTGTCCTAGGCACCTGACATACACCAGCGTACAAAACAGACGAGGAGTAGGGCAGGGTAGCGGGGGACAGTTACCAAAACAAATAAGTAAATATGGTGATAAGGTGAGCGGTGCTCTTGGGAAAATAGAAAGTTGAACAAAGTTGGAGCCCAGTGCAGTGGCTCACACCTGTAATCGCAGTCCGTTGGGAAGCTGAGTCGGGAGGATCACCTCAAGTGATCTGCCCACTTTGGCCTCCCAAAGTGCTGGGATTACAGGCATGAGCCACTGCCCCCAGCCGCGAGTTATCAATTATTATTTTTTTTTTTTGAGACAGAGTCTTGCTTTGTCACCCAGGCTGGAGTACAGTGGCTCAGTCTTGGCTAACTGAGACCTCCACTGCCCAGGTACAATTGATTCTCCTACCTCAGCCTCCTGAGTAACTGGGACTACAGGTGTGTGCCACCACGCCCAGCTAATTTTTTTTATTTTAAGTAGAGACGGGGTTTCACCATGTTGGCAAGGCTGGTCCAGAACTTCCGACCTCAGGTGATCTGCCCACCTCAGCCTCCCCAAGTGCTGGGATTACAAGTGTTGAGTCACTGTACCTGGGCAAGTTATCAATTTTAAATAGGCTGGTCAGAGTAGGTCACATTCAGGACACATTTGAGCAGGAACTTCGAGGAGGTGAGGGAGTGAGGCCTGAAAATTATTGGGGGTAGCGGAGGACATTCCAGGGCAAGGAGTCAGCTGTGCAAAGGCCCTGAGGTAGCAGTGGGGCTGTTGAGGAAGGATGGGATTGAGGCACAGCAAAGAGTCACGTGGCCGGGATGAAGAGGATGAGCTGAGACCCACATGAGAGGCAGATCACACAGAGCCTTGAAGTCCCTTGTCAGGACTGTGGCTTTTCTATTCTGTGTAAGTGGGGAGCCTTTACAGGATTTTGAGCAGTGACTTGATCTGACTTTTTTTTTTTTTTTTTTTTTGAGACGGAATCTTGCTCTGTCTCCCAGGCTGGAGTGCAGTGGTGTAATCTCGGCTCGTTGCAACCTCCACCTCCTGGGTTCAAGCAATTCTCCTGCCTTAGCCTCTCGAGTAGCAGGGATTACAGTCACCCACCACCACACCGAGCTAATTTTTATATTTTTAGTAGAGATAGAGTTTCACCATGTTGGCCAGGCTGCTCTTGAACTCCTGACCTCAGGTGATCCACCCACCCCGGCCTTCCAAAGTGTAGGATTACAGGTGTGAGCTACCATGCCCAGCGGATCTGACTTATTTTAAAAGGATTTTTTGTGTGTGTTGAGGATCCAATCAGGAGAACAGGCAAGGGTCAGTGCAGAGAGGCTGTTGCAAAAATCCAGGCGACATTCTTTCCTTCCTTCCCTCCTTCCCTCCCTCCCGCTTTCATTTTCTTTTCTTTTCTTTTTTCTTCCTTTCTTCCTTCCTTCCTTCCTTCCCTCCTCCCTCCCTTCCCTGCCCTTCCTTCCCTTCTTTTTCTTTCTTTCTTTTTGATGGAATCTCTCTCTGTGGCCAGGCTGGAGTGCAGTGACGCGATCTCGGCTCACTGCAACCTCCACCTCCTGGGTTCAGGCAATTCTCCTGCCTCAGCCTCCTGAGTAGCTGGGATTACGGGCATGCACCACCAAGCCTGGCTAATTTTTATTTATTTTTCTAATTTTTAGTAGAGATGGGGTTTCACCATGTTGGCCACGCTGGTCTCGATCTTCTGACCTTGTGATCTACCCACTTTGGCCTCCCAAAGTGCTGGGATTACAGGCGTGAGCCACTCCACCCGGCTGATGCTCTTTCTTTCTGTGCACTAAAATCTGTCTCCAGCTGCTTCCCACCACCTCCCTGTGCTCTCAGCTGAGCTTCTCTTTCTGCTGTTGACTTCTTCCTTTTGCCTCTCACGCGGCATTCACATTCTCTCTCAATCTTCTCCACACACCCCACATTTCCAGCCCTCACTGAGCCAAGCATTGTAGGTCAAGCATAGAGGGTCCTGCTCCCTAATTTCCTTTCTGAGTTTATACTTCTTATTTTTGAATTTAAAAAAAAATGTTTTAAAAATTAGGCCAGGTGCGGTGGCTCATGCCTGTAATCCCAGCACTTTGAGAGGCCGAGGTGGGTAGATCACTTGAAGCCAGGAATTCAAGACCAGCCTGGGACATACAGTGAGCTCTCGTCTCTACAAAAATTGCAAAATTAGCCCGGTGTGGTGGTGCACACCTGTAGTCCCAGCTACTCAATAGGCTGAGGCGGGAGGATCAACTGAGCCTGGGGAGGTTGAGGCTGCAATGAGCCATGATTGCGCCGCTGCACTCCAGCCTGGGCGACGGAGTGAGACTCCCCAAAACAAAAACAACAACAACGAGTTAGCACCCAAAGGACAGAGTTCTAGTTGCTGCTTTGGAGAGGGTGCCCGGCGCTTTCCATGGCAGTGCCGAGTCCTTACCCAGCCCAGGCATTTCTGGGAAAGTTGAAGACCTCAATCTGTTTGGACAGGACCACCTCGGTGCTGCCTGATTGTAGGCTGCTGTTTGGGCTCCCCGGGGACAGGTCCCCAGCCTCCTCAGGGCCCTATCTCTGCTGCCATCTTCCCTTAGTTCCCTCCACCCCAGTTCTCCGGCCTTTTCCCTCACAGGTGGCTACTATATGCTCCTGGACCCAAGGAATGCAAGAGCTGGGCAGAAAGCCATCCTCCTGAGTCCCGTGAGCCCGTCCTCTGGCTGTCTGAGCCTTTCCTTCCACTACGTCCTCCGGGGCCAGTCTCCTGGCGCAGCACTCCACGTTTACGCTTCAGTCTTAGGTTAGAGCAGATAATTGGTGGGATTTACACTGAGCTGCCTACATCTCCCAGGGTTGGCTTGTTGCGAAAACATGGGGCATCCCTCAGGGTCTAGGGAGGTCTGGAATATGTGCGAGATTATTCCATGATTTATTCCATGAAGTGGAAATCATGACTGGGAGGGTGCAGAATTCTAGAAAAATAGATACGTAGGTTGTGCTGGCCCGGCACGGTGGCTCACGCCTGTAATCCCAGCACTTTGGGAGGTTGAGGCGGGTAGATCACCTGAGGTCAGGAGTTCGAGACCAGCCTGGCCAACATGGAGAAACCCTGTCTCTGCTAAAAATACAAAAATTAGCCGGGCATGGTGGCACACACTTGTCATCTCAACTACTCAGGAGGCTGAGGCAGGACAATCACTTGAACCTGGGAGATGGAAGTTGCAGTGAGCCGAGATTGCACCACTGCACTTCAGCCTGGGCAACAAAGCAAGACTCCATCTGAAAAAAATAAATAAGTAAAATAAAAAGGAAGGTTGTGCTTTCAGTTGGTTTTACTATTCCCCAACTATACCTTCTCATCCTCATCCTCCTGGGTGTAGTTCGAAGCCACTTCCCGGTCCTGTTCAGCTCACTTCTCTCCGATTCTTTCACTGCAGGGAGCATCCGGAAACACACTCTCTTCTCAGGACATCCTGGACCCAACTGGCAAGCTGTTTCTGTCAATTACACAACTGTGGGACGGATACAGGTATGGAGAAGCAAGGGGTCGGGTCCTTGCACATGGTAGGCACCCCACTGTTGAAATAAATTGAGGGGTCCAGCGCTGTGGCTCATGCCTGTACTCCCAATGCTTTTGGAGGCTGAGGAGGGAGGATTGCTTCACGGCAGGAGTTCAAGATCAGCCTGGGCGACATAGCAAGACCCCATCTCTTAAAAAAAAATATATGAAAATTGGGCAGGCTTATGATGTGCACCTGTAGTCCGAGCTACTCAGAAGGCTGAGGTGGGAGGATCACTTGAGATCTGGAGGTCAAGGGTGCAGTGAGCTATGATCGTACCACTGCACTCCAGCCTGGGCAACAGAGCAAGACCCTGTCTCGAAAAAAGAAAGAAAGAAAGAAATGAATTGAGGCTCTGGGCACAGGGAGTAGGGGTTCTGGGACCTGAAATGGATTCGAGTCACGTCAGGGGTTTGGGGGTGTGGGGTGTATGTTCACTCCTGGCCTACTCTCCGTTTCTCTCCAGTTCATCGTGGTGGGCATTTTTGGAAAGATCCCAGAGCCAGCTGTGGCAGTCGATGCAGTCAGCATCACTCCGTGTGGGGGTGAGAGTGGGCCCTGAGAGGCCCGGATCTCAGAATCTGGGGTGGGCTCGGGGAGGGCTGGAGAGCATCAGTCAACTTGCTCAAATCTCCTATTTTGATCCCCCAGAGGGCTTTCCTCAGTGTGACTTTGAAGATAGCGCCCATCCCTTCTGTGACTGGGTCCAGACTTCCAAGGATGGTGGACATTGGGTCCTTGGACATAAAAACATATCCATCCACGGCATGGGCCCCTCGGGAGATTTCCCTAGTACAGGTAAGGAGATTGAGGAGCACTCACGCCAAGGAATTCACTGAATCTGCTCCCAGGGAGGGGGCTGGCTGCTGTGATTGATGGGAGAAGTTGTTTCAGTTGGTGGGATGATTAGTCCACAGGTGTTTATTCGGAAGCTGCCATGAGTGGGGACTATGGAGATAGCAGAGTAACTTAAGGATTCTCAAGGCTGTGAGGTCACTGAAATTCCTGAGAAAACCCAGGCATTTCGCTTCATGGAGCCCCAGGCTTCAAAACCCACCACCTCAGTTTCAGTCTAGACATTTATGAGGGGCCTATGCCTGCAATTCCAGCAATTTGGGAGGCTGAGGCAGGAGGACTGCTTGAGCCCAGGAGTTTGAGCCCACCCTGGGCAACAGTGAGAACTGCATCTCTACAAAAAAAAGTTTTTTGAAAAAATTGTTATTTATTTATTTCTTTTGAGACAGAGTCTCACTTCATCGCCAGGCGCCAGGCTAGACTGCAGTGGCGTGATCTCGGTTCACTGCAACCTCTGCCTCCGGGGTTCAAGCAATTCTCTTACCTCAGCCTCCTGAGTAGCTGGGACTACGGGCACGCGCCACCATGCCAAGCTAATTTTTTAAAAAAAGTTTTAAAAAAATTAGCCAGATGTGGCTGGGTGCAGTGGCTCACGCCTATAATCCCAGCACTTTGAGAGTCCTGGGCGGGCAGATCACGGTATCAAGAGATTGGGACCATTCTGGCCAACATGGTGAAATCCCATTTCTACTAAAAAATAAAAAAAATTGGCCAGGCGCGGTGGCTCACACCTGTAATCCTAGCACTTTGGGAGGCCAAGGCAGGCAGATCATGCAGTCAGGAGTTCCAGAACAGTCTGACCAACATAGTGAAACCCCATCTCTACTAAAAATAGAAAAAATTAGCCGCGTGTGGTGGTATGCACATGTAATCCCAGCTACTTGGGCGGCTGAGGCAGGAGAATTGTGTGAACCCAGGAGGCAGAGGGTGCAGTGACTGAGAGCACACCATTGCACTCCAGCCCAGGCAAGAGTGTGAGACTCTGTCTCAAAAGAAAAAGAAAATTACAAAAATTAGCCGGGCGTGTTGGCATGTACTTGTCATCCCAGCTACTCAGGAGGCTGAGGCAAGAGAATCACTTGAACCCTGGAGGTGGAGGTTGCAGTGAGCCGAAATCATGCTGCTGCACTCCAGCCTGGTGACAGACCAAAACTCCGTCTGAAAAAAAAAAAAAAAAAAATTAACCAGATGTGGTGGCATGTGTTTGCGGTCCCAGCTACTTGTGAGGCTGATGTGGGAGGATTGCTTGAGCTCAGGACACGGAGGCTGCAGTGAGCTGTGACTGAACCAATGCACTCCAGCCTGGGCAATAGAGTGAGACATTGTCTCTTAAAAAAAAATAGGCCAGGCATGGTGGCTTATGCCTTTAATCTTAGCATTTTGGGAAGCCAAGGCAGGTGGATCACTTGAGGTCAGGAGTTTGTGACTACCCTGGCCAACATGGGAAAACCTTGACTCAACTGAAAAAAAAATACACAAATTAGCTGGGAGTGGTGGTACGCATGTGTAGTCTCAGCTACTTGGGTGGCTGAGGCAGGAGAATCTCTTGAACCTGAGAGGCAGAGACTGCAGTGAGCTCAGATCACACCACTGTACTCTAGCCTGGGCAACAGAATGAGATTCTGTCTTAAAAATATATAAAATAAAAAGCTAAATAATTTTTTTTTAACGACAATAATGGGGGCAGGGTGAAGTGGCTCACGCCTGTAATCTTAGTGCTTTGGGAGGCTGAGGTGGGTGGATCACTTGAGGCCAGGAGTTCAAGACTAGCCTGGCTAACATGGTGGGACCCTCTCTCTACTAAAAACATGAAAATTAGCTGGGCGTGGTGGCACACGCCCGTAATCCCAGCTACTTGGGAGGCTGAGGCAGGAGAATTGGTTGAACCTGAGAGGCGGAGGTTGCAGTGAACCGAGATCACAGCACTGCACTCCAGCCTGGGCAACAGAGCGAGACTGCATCTCAAACACACACACACACACACACACACACACACACACGATATTAACAAATGCAGTCGGCAGTGGAGTCTAGGTTGCTGGTTTGTGTTTCCCTTTCTCACCTCACCTTCTTTAGCTAGATGTCTAAAATGAGCAGAAGAAATAATGCTACGACCTGGAGAATTTGAGTGTTTGCTCAGACCCCCGCTTGGAAAGCAAAGCATTGCTAAAGCAGCCGCTGGTGTGTCCTGTGCAGGCTTCTCATCTTGCACATTCGCTTCCTTTTCCCAGGTGGTCACTATATCTACCTTGAGACTGACAAATTCTCCCGGGCGGGGCAGTCAGTCAGACTGGTGAGCCGGCCCTTCTGCGCTCCGGGTGACATCTGTGTGGATTTCGCATACCACATGTATGGCCTTGGGGAGGGTACTACGCTCAAGCTCCTCCTGGGAAGTCCTGCAGGGAGCCGCCCGATTCCTCTCTGGAAATGCGTGGGGTCCCAGAGCCCTTATTGGCAGAATACCTCTGTCACCATCCCTTCAGGACATCAACAGCCCATGCAGGTGAGAGATGGAGACGGGGGCCCTGACTGTGTGGGGTAAGGGGCACTGGCTGGGGTCTGGGGGGACCACCAGGGCTGAAGGGGTAGAAAGCTGGAAAGAGAGCTGAGAAAAGGGCAACTTTCTGTTACGGAAAACGAGAGAAGGGGTTGGAACGGGGCTGGACCGTTGAGGCTGGAGAGGGCAGACTCTACGCCCAGCAGTCAGAGAGTTGCTGGAGATTCATTTTTGTTTCTCTCTCCGTCTCTCTCCCTTGTCGCCTTCAGCTGATTTTTAAGGCCATCCGGGGCAGCAACACAGCCTTTGTGGTTGCTCTGGGTTTCATCTTGATCAATCCTGGGACTTGTCCAGGTAAGCCCAAAGCCAAGGCTTCAGGAAGGAGGCCACGCCCTGAGATCACCATCCCCCGGGGTTCTCTCTATGCACTGCTGAAAATGCAAATCCTCCCTGGAGCCTGAAAGCCTGAATTCTCAGCCAGCTGGCCTTGTTTTCCATCTTCTTTTTTTATTATTATTATTATTATTATTATTTTTATTTTGAGATGGAGTCTCACTCTGTCGCCAGGCTAGAGGGTGCAGTGGCTGAATCTCAGCTCACTGCAACCTCTGCCTCCTGGGTTCAAGCGATTTCTCCTGCCTCAGCCTCCCGAGTAGCTGGGACTACAGACATGTGCCACCACGCCCAGCTAATTTTTATATTTTTAGTAGAGGGGTGTTTCACCATGTTGGCCAGGATGGTCTTAAACTCCTGACCTCAAGTGATCCGCCCTCCTCGGCCTCCCAAGGTGCTGGGATGACAGGTGTGAGCCACTGCATCTGGCCTGCTTTCTGTCTTCTACCTACCTGTCCCTTCTCTATACTTTGGGATGTTTGCCTGGGTGAATGTGGCTTGGATACCATGGATTTTGGGGGCTCATCCAGAACCCCTTTCCCTGTAATCTCAAAGGCAGGACCCATACCCTTTTCATTTCTGGGTTTCTCTTACCTGGTACAATATCTGACATGTAGTAGTGTCTGTTGAATGAATAAAGGTTGGGGGTTGGAAGTAGAAAGAGAGGTGTGAATAAGTCGCCCCTTGGAGCCAATTAGATGGTAGGGAAGACGATGGCGGATGGTTTCGGCTAAACTCCAGGGATTCTTTTTCCTTTGCAGTGAAAGTGCTACCAGTGCTTCCTCCCGCATCTCCAGCTTCTTCCGCCGTCCCTGCCAAAACCACTGGCCTCACAGAAAACCCTGCAATCTCCACACAAAACCCCACAGTTTCCACAGAAAAGCCCACAGTCCCCAAAGAAAACCCCACCATTCCCACGGAAAAACCCAGCATCCCTACTGAAAAGCCCTCTATCCCCACTGAAAAACCCACCATTGCCACAGAAAAGCCCACTGTCCCCACAGAAGAGCCCAGCACCCCCACTGAGGAGACCACCATCTCCACACAAGAGCCTGCCATCCCCACAGAGAAACCCAGTGTTCCCACGGAAAAACCCACCCTCCCCACTGAAGAAGCCACCACTTCCATTGAAGAGACCACCGTCTCCACCGAAGAGCCCACCATCCCCACAGAAAAACCCACCATCCCTACGGAAAAGCCCATCATCTCCACGGAAAAACCCATCTCCACAGAAAAACCCATCATCTCCACTGAAGAAACCACCATCCCCACTGAAGAGACCACTGTCCCCACTGAAAAACCAACTGTCTCCACGGAAATACCTACCATTCCCACTGAGATAACTGCCGTCCCCACAGAAAATCTGACTTTTCCCACTGTAGAGCCCACCACTCCCACTGGAGAGACCACCACCTCCACAGAAGAGTCCACCATCCCCACTGAAGAGACCACCGTCCCCACTGAAAAACCCACCATCCCCACTGAAGAGACCACCATGTCCACTGAAGAGACCACCGTCCCCACTGAAGAGACCACCGTGTCCACTGAAGAGACCACCGTGTTCACTGAAGAGACCACTGTCCCCACTGAAGAGACCACTGTCCCCACTGAAAAACCCACTGTCCCCACTGAAAAACCCACTGTCCCCACTGAAGAGACCACTGTCCCCACTGAAGAGACCACTGTCCCCACTGAAAAACCCACTGTCCCCACTGAAAAACCCACTGTCCCCACTGAAGAGACCACTGTCCCCACTGAAAAACCCACTGTCCTCACTGAAGAGACCACTGTCCCCACTGAAAAACCCACTGTCCCCACTGAAAAACCCACCGTCCCCACTGAAGAGACCACTGTCGCCACTGAAAAACCCACCGTCCCTGCTGAAAAACCCACTGTCCCCACTGAAGAGACCACTGTCGCCACTGAAAAACCCACCGTCCCCACTGAAGAGACCACCGTGTCCACTGAAGAGACCACTGTCCCCACTGAAAAACCCACCATCCCCACTGAAGAGACCACTATCACCCCTGAAAAACCCACTGTCCCCACTGAAGAGACCACCATCCCCACTGAAGATACCACCGTCCCCACTGAAGAGACTACTGTCCCCACAGAAAAGCTCACAGCCCCGATGCCACAGCATCCCAGTCCCACAGCCATTGGACTGGCAGCCTCATTGATGTCTCCACAAGTTCCACGCGCCTCTGTGGCCAGTGTGATCCTGGGCACTACCACAAGCCCCAGACCCACTCCAGGTATGAGGCGGATGGAGCATGGGCCGAGGCTGGTGGAGACTGATTAGGAGAGAGTGGGAAAGGGATGCTTCCGGTTATCTCAGGGGACAGCTGAAGCAGTCCATAGTGACTTTGGAGGAAATGGGAGGACTGCCCAGAGCGAGCGGGATGGCAGGCTTGGAGTGGGTGGGGGTGTTGGGACCCAACTATGAGGCTTGCTTCACCTTGTTCGTTATTGAGATATAATCCGTATTTCATAAAATTCATGCTTTTTTTAAAGTGTATGCAATTCTAGGTTGGGCACGGTGGCTCATGCCTGGAATCCCAGCACTTTGGGAGGCCAAGGCAGGAGGGTTGCTTGAGCTTGGGAGTTTGAGACCAGCCTGGGGAACATAGCAAGACCTCCGTCTCTATTTTAAAGCACACACACACACACACACACACACACACACACACACACACACACAAATTAGCTGTGGGTGTGGTGGTGCACGCCTGTAGTCTCAGCTACTCGGAGGGCTGAGGTGGGAGGATCACTTGAGCCTGGGAGATTGAGGCTGTATTGAGCCATGATTGCATTGCTGTACTTCAGCCTGGGTGACAGAGTGAGACCCTGTCTCAAAAAAAAAAAAGCAATTCTGTGGTTTTTAGTATATTCCCAAGGTTGTACAACCATCATCTCTTTCTAATCCAAACATTTTCATCACTCCAAAAAGAAACCCTGTACCTATTAGCAGCCACTCCCCTCTGCCTTCCCCCACCCCCTGGCAACCACAAATTTCTTTCCTATATCCATGGATTTGCCAGCTCTGGAGAGTTCATACAAATGGAATCACACAATATGTGGGCCTTTGTGTCTGACTTCTTTCACAGAGTGTAATGTTTTCCAGGCCTTTCAAACTGTGCATGCATCAGGATGTCATTCCTTTAAAAAAATCATTTCTTATATTTTTGAGACCACACTGGAGTGCAGTGGCACGATCTTGGCTCACTGCAACCTCCGCCTCCCTGGGTCAAGCGACTATCCTGCCTCAGCCTCCTGAGTAGCTGGGGCTACAGGCCTGAGCCACCATGCCCAGCTAATTTTTGTATTTTTAGTAGACGCGGGGTTTTGCCCTGTTGGCCAGACTGCTTTTGAACTCCTGGCCTCAAGTGATCCACCCGCCCACCTCGGCTTCCCAAAGTGCTGGGATTACAGGCATGAGCCACCGCACGCGGCCTGACATTTTTTTAATTTTCAAATTGTTTTGTAGTGATGGGATCTCACTGTGTTGCCCAGGTCAGTCTCAAACTCCTGGCATCAAACTGCCCTCCCGCCTCAGCCTCCCAAAGTGCTAGGACAGGCGTCCCCAAACTACGGCCCGCAGGCCGCATGCGGCCCCCGGAGGCCATTTATCCGCCCCCCCCGCCCCGCACTTCAGGAAGGGGCACCTCTTTCATTGGTGGTCAGTGAGAGGAGCACAGTATGTGGCGGCCCTCCAACGGTCTGAGGGACAGTGAACTGCCCCCTGTGTAAAAAGTTTGGGGTCACCTGTGCTGGGATTACAGATGTGAGCCACCGTGCCCAGCCTTCAGGCCATTTTCTTCCCCCTTGCCATATTTAAGCTAATTCAGACCATTTTGTGGCTGAAAAATATGGTCCTGTTTCCTCGAGAAGAACTTGAGTTTGGGGGTAGAGGAGAGACGGGGAGGCCCCCCGTGAAAGTGTGACAAAGGCCGTTTTCCCCTTAGAGCGCTGCCCCCCAAATGCTCACTACGAATCCTGTGCTTGTCCCGCTTCGTGCGGGAGCCCAAGGCCTCGCTGCGGGTCCCTCTGTCGCGGGGGCTGTGTCTGCGACCCAGGCTTTTTGTTTACTGACAACCTCTGCATCCAGGCCTCTTCCTGCAATTGCTTCTACAACAATAATTACTATGAGGTAAGCCCCCTGGGGTGCCGGGGTCCCGCGAGCGGGATTCATGACAACACCCGGGTTCCAGCTCCATCTGCTCCCCAGGTGAAGCAAACTGAGATCACTGGATAGGCCCAGTGGGTCAGCTGAGACGCAGCGGTTACACAGTGTCTAAGTGACTCATTCAATCTTCTGTTTGTTTGTTTTTGAGATGGAGTCTTGCTCTGCTGCCCAGGCTAGAGTGCAGTGGTGTGATCTCAGCTCACTGCAACCTCCGCCTCCCGGGTTCAAGTGATTCTCCTGCCTCAGCCTCCCAAGTAGCTGGGATTACAGGTGCCCCCCACCACACCTGGCTAATTTTTTGTATTTTTAGTAGAGGCGGGGTTTCACCATGTTACCAGGACGGTCTCCATCTCCTGACCTCAGGTGATCCATCCGCCTTGGCTTCCCAAAGTGCTGGGATTATAGGCGTGAGCCACCGTGCCTAGCCACTCTCCCAGTCGCTCAGGCTGGAGTGCAGTGGTGCAGTAGCGGCTCACTGCAGCCTCCACTTCCTGGACTCTGGTGATGCTCCCACTTCAGCCTCTCTAGCAGCTGGGACTACAGGTACCTGCTACCATGCCCAGCTAATTTTTGTATTTGTGGTATGTTTCCCGGGCTGGTCTCCATATCCAGAGTTCAAGCGATCCTCCTGCCTCAGCCTCCCAAAGTGCTGGGTAGGCGTAAGACACCGTGCCTGGCTGGGTACATTCCTTTGCCTCTTTAAATCTTTTTTCCATATTTATAAAGTATACACAATAAGATTTTCTACCTCATATCAGATTATCGTAAGGATGAAATTAGGTCCTGACACATATAAGTACTTAATGCGTATTATTATCATTAGCATCTTATGATAAATATATGCGACCTACTAATTACAAGTGCATTAAAAAGCCTGGCGTGGTGACTCATACCTCTAATCCCAACACTTTAGGGGCCGAAGTGGAAGGATTGCTTGAGCCCAGGAATTTGAGGCTACAATGAGCTAGGATTGTACCACTGCACTCCAGCCTGGGCAATGGAGTGAGACCCCGTCTAAAAAACAAAGTGCATGAAGCTATTCATTAATGTCCAGTGCCTCTTAGCTTCAGGCGTTCTTCTCACTGACATCAGAGCTTCTGTGTGTCTCTTTTGGGGCTATTATTTCTTTCTCCAGCCCCCTTTAACCAGTCTCCTGGGTCTCCCTGAGTTGCTACTGAGATTAGCTTCAGCCACACCCTGAGCAGAAAGATCTGTCAAAGGCACCAAGAATCTCTTCCCCCTGCTCTGAAAGGCATGTATTCACTTCTGATAGATTCATTTATGCATTCAACAAATGTTTATTTAGTACGTTTCACAGTAAAAAGATTTTTGTTTTGTTTTGTGGAGACGAGGTTTTGCCATGTTGGTAGATTGGTCTTGAGCTCCTGGGCTCAACCCATTCTCCCACCTCGGCCTCCCAAAGTGCCAGGATTACAGTTGTGAGCCGCCACACCCAGCCTTTTTTGTACTTTCTACTCTCCTGGCATTGGGGTCACCATGAATAGGTCATGCTTCTTGCCTTCATAATGCTCTCAGATTCAGAGAGACACATGGGCTCTTGGTTTATTCCTTCATTCAGCAAGTATTTATTGAATGAGAGTGCTCATGGGAGGGCTAAGATATTGGGTAAAGACAGACATTGGCTGGGCGATGTCTCATGGTGGCTCATGGTTGTAATCCCAGTACTTTGGGAAGTTGAGTTGGGCAGATCACCTGAGGTCAGGAATTCGAGACCAACCTGGCCAACATGGCAAAACCCCATCTCTACCAAAAATACAAAAATTAGTCAGGCATGATGGTGGGCACCTGTAATTCCAGCTACTTGGCAGGCTGAGGCATGAGAATGACTTGAACCCGGGAGGCGGAGGTTGCAGTGAGCTGATATTGTACCACTTCACTCCAGCTTGGAAAACAGATTGAGATTCCGTAAAAAACAAACAAACAAACAAACAAACAAACAAACAGACATAAGGCTGTATGCGGTGGCTCACACCCGTAATCTCAGCACTTTGGGAGGCCAAGGTGGGAGGATCACTTGAGCTCAGGAGTTCAACGACAGACAGCCTAGACAACATAGCAAGACTCCGTCTCTAAAACACATTTTAAAAAAATAGGCATGGTGGAGTGCACCTGTAGTCCCAGATACTTGGGAGTTGAGGTGGGAGGATGGTTTTAGCCCAAGTATCAAGGCTATAGCGAGCTATGACTGTGCCACTGCACTCCAGCCTGGGCAACGGAGACCCTGTCTCTTAAAAAAAAAAAGTGGGAGGAGAGAAGAGCACCTGCAAATGTGAATATCAGGTAGGTGGCGGGGAGAGGCGTCCCACGAAGGAGGTCAGGTCTGCATGGGAGAGCAGCCTCTTTCCCGGGCACGGCAGAGGGAAAGGGAGAACAGCCAGGCACAGTGGCTCACGCCTGTAATCCCAGCACTTTAGGAGTCCAAGGTGGGCAGATCACCTGAGGTCAGGAGTTCGAGACCAGCCTGGCCAATATGGTGAAACCCCATCTCCATTAAAAATACAAAAAAATTAGCTGGGTGTGATGGCGGGTGCCTATAATCCCAGCTACTTGGGAGGCTGAGGCACGAGAATCACTTGAATCTGGGAGGCAGAGACTGTAGCAAGCTGAGACCACACCATTGCCCTTCAGCCTGGGTGACAAAGTGAGACTCCATCTCAAAAAAAAAAAAAAAGAAAGTAAGTAAGAAAAGGCCAGGCATGGTGGCTCACGCCTATAATCCAAGACTTAGGGAAGCTGAGGCAGGCGGATCACCTGAGGTCAGGAGTTTGAGACCAGCCTGGACAACATGGAGAAACCCTATCTCTACAAAAAATACAAAAAATTAGCCGGGGATGGTACCATGCACCTGTAGTCCCAGCTGCTTGGGAGGCTGAGGCAGGAGACTCGCTGGAGCTTGGGAGGTGGAAGTTGCAGTGAGCCGAGATCGTGCTACTGCACTCCAGCCTGGGCGACAGAACTAGACTCCATCTCAAAAAAAGAAATGAAAAGGGAAAAGGGAGGACTCTTAAGAGCTATGTGATCGTGTGACCTCAGATTCCTTTCTCCCAGCCTGGCTCAGAGTGGTTCAGCCCCAACTGCACAGAACGTTGCCGATGCTGGCCAGGCAGTCGGGTCGAGTGCCAGATCTCTCAGTGTGGGACACACACCGTGTGCCAGCTTAAGAATGGCCAGTACGGATGCCACCCCTACGGTGAGGGCTTCTCCCCATGCTGTCCCTGACTGCCATTCTGTCGGAGTGGATGTGACGCCAGAATCCCAGTCTCTCACTTGAGCAGAGGAATAGGGACCTGCCACTGGGCAACGGGTGGGCCGCTGTCCGGGGTCCCTGGAAGGGCCACAGAGCAGCTTTTCCTGTTCTTTTCCTCTCCCAGCAGGCACTGCCACCTGCTTGGTCTACGGAGACCCTCATTATGTCACCTTTGACGGGAGGCACTTTGGCTTCATGGGCAGGTGCGCTTACATCTTGGCCCAGCCCTGTGGCAACTCGACAGGTAGGCCCTGGAGATGCCACCACAGCCTGCGGGAAGGGTCTGTGGGCAGCACTGCTGGGCGTGGGGGAACCATGGGTGGGAGGAAGGGGCAGGGTGCAGATGGGGGAAGAGGCAGAGTAGGAACAAGTTCTTCTGTAAGGTGAGGTTTGAAGGCCAGGCCCAGTGGCTCACACTGGTACCTCTACACTTTGGGAGGCTGAGGCAGGAGGATCGCTTGAGCCCAGAAGTTTGAGAGCAGTTTGGGCAACATAGCAAGACCTCATCTCCATGAAAAAAAGAAAATTAAAAATCAGGCTGGGCGCAGTGGCCCAAGCCTGTAATCCCAGCACTTTGGGAGGCTGAGGTGGGTGGATCAACTGAGAAAAGGAGTTCAAGACCAGTTTGGTCAACATGGTGAAACCCCGTCTCTACTAAAAGTATAAAAAATTAGCCGGCCATGGTGACGGGTGCCTGGAATCCCAGCTACTCAGGAGGCTGAGGCAGAATTGCTTGAACCCGGGAGGTAGAGGTTGCAGTGAGCCAGGATCGAGTCACTGCATTCCAGCCTGGGCAACAAGAGTGAAACTCCATCTCAAGAAATAAATAAGTAAATAAATAATCAGCCAGGTGTGGTGGAACACACCTATAGTCCCAGCTACTTGGGAGGCTGAGGTGGGAGGATCACTGGAGCACGAGAGTTGGAGGCGGCAGTGAGCTATGATCACACCATTGCACTCCAGCCAGGTAAAGCGAGACACTGTGTAAAAAAATATGTACGTACATACATACATACATACATACATACATAAAGTTTTAAAAAAAAAGAAGGCAGTGGTTAGGGAGCACGAATGCCTGGAATATGTTCGGTCACTCAACAGAGACAGACATGCGGCAGTCGCAGGCTCTTCTGGAAGAGGCAGTCTTGGTCTGCTCCAGTGTGGGTCTGGCCTCCCTTACTGGACTTTGGGGCTGGTGTGTCTTGGCCCTCATCTATTCCTGCGATGCTGAGCTCAGGGCACTGCTCACGGCGGATGTTCAGAAATGAGCCACTGGGCTCTCTTCATTCCTCTCCCCACCCAGACCCATTCTTCAGGGTGACAGCCAAGAATAAGGAGCAGGGACTAGAAGGTGTGTCCTGCCTGAGCAAAGTCTACGTGACCCTGCCCGAGACCACCGTCACCCTGCTCAAGGGCAGACGCACGCTGGTGAGCCCCATTCTACCTCCACCACCCTCGCAGAGTCTGACTGTGTGTCCTGGCCGGCCCCTCCAGGCCCAGAACCCTTCCACGGACGGGATTGAACAAGACAGTGGCCTGCAATCCCAATTCTTCAGGAACCTAAAGTGGGAGGATTGTGTGAGGCCAGGAGTTTGAGGCCAGCCTGGGCAATAGAGCAAGACGCTGTCTTTTAACAAATAGAAAAAATTAGCCTGGTGTGGTGGCACTTGCCTGTGGTCCCCTCTACTCCAGAGGCTGAGGTGGGAGGATTGCCAGAGCCTGGGAGGCCGAGGGTGCAGTGAGCTGCAATTGCACCATTGCACTCCAGACAGGGCAACAGATTAAGACCCTGTCTCTTACAGGAACAGAAACAACGAAACAGTGGTGGGGAGGCTCCAGTCCACTCCTGGTGGATGAGATTGTTAGGCCGCTGTGGATGGTGTCCTGCCTTCCAGCCCTGGAAATGGAAGTCTACTGGGGTCCTCCTTGACCCCCAGATCTGTCTCTCTGTGTCTTGCCTCTGCCCTGCCTTCCAGGTTGGGGGTCAGCGAGTTACCCTCCCAGCCATACCCTCCAAAGGCGTCTTCCTAGGTGCAAGTGGGCGATTTGTGGAGCTGCAGACGGATTTCGGTTTGCGGGTGAGATGGGATGGTGACCAGCAGCTGTATGTGACTGTGCCCAGGTAAGGTGGTGTCCCGGCCAGGCAGCTGCCACTTCTTCCTGCTCTCTGCCCCGCCCACTCCCCTTCCATCCCTGGCACCACTACTTGATCACTGATGGGTGGGAAGCACCCTGCTTAGGTGGCAGGGCTTCCTTTGGACCAGGAGAAGGAGAAAATGGTTTTGGGGCACATGATAGTAGGATGGATGTACATGCTTTGGGAATGTGCTAGAAGGAGGCACTAGTGAGCTCTGGAGGCTTTCAAAAGGGCAGTCACTTGGTCCCATTCTTGAAGGAAGAGTGGCTCCCCAGATGGACAAAACAAGGGAAAGAAAGCCTTTTTTTTTTTTTTTTTTTTTTTTTTGAGACAGAGTCTCGCTCTGTTGCCCTGGCTGGAGTGCAGTGGCATGATCTTAGCTCACTGCAACCTCCACCTCCTGAGTTCAAGTGATTTTCCTGCCTCAGCCTCCCAAGTAGGTGGGATTACAGGCATGTGCCACCACACCCAGCTAATGTTTGTATTTATATTTGTATTTATTTATTTATTTTTTGAGATAGAGTCTTGCTCTGTCACCCAGGCTGGAGTGCGGTGGCACGATCTCAGCTCACTGCAGCCTCTACCCCCTGGATTCTAGTGATTCTCTTGCTGCAGCCTCCTGGGTAGCTGGGATTATAGGTGCATGCCACGACACCTGGCTAATTTTTGTATTTTTAGTAGAGACAGGGTTTTGCCATGTTGGCCAGGATGATCTTGAACTCCTGACCTCAGGTGATCCACCCGCCTTGGCCTCCCAAAGGGCGGTGATTACAGGCATGAGCCACCGTGCCTGGCCTAATTTTTGTATTTTTAGTAGAGATGAGGTTGCACCATGTTGGCCAGGCGGGTCTCAAACTCCTGACCTCAGGTGATCCTCCTGCTTCGGTCTCCCAAGTTTTGGGATTACAGGTGTGAGCCACTATGCCTGGTAAAAGAAAGACTTTATAGAAATACTTTATAGAGAGTGGGTGCAGGGGGTCCTGCCTATAGCCCTGAACTCTGAGAGGCCCAGGCAGGAGAATCCCTTGGGGGCAGGCATTCCACACCAGCCTGGGTAACACAGTGAGACCCTATCTCTACCAAAAAGTTTAAACATTAGCCAGGCATAGAGGCCTGCACCTATAATCTCAGCACGTTGGAAGGCTGAGGCAACAGGATCGCTTGAACCCAGGACTTCTGGACCTGCCTGGACAATGTAGTGAGATCCTATCTCTTTTTTTTTTTTTTTTTTTTTTGAGACGGAGTTTCGCTCTTGTTACCCAGGCTGGAGTGCAATGGCGCGATCTCGGCTCACCGCAACCTCCGCCTCCTGGGTTCAGGCAATTCTCCTGCCTCAGCCTCCTGAGTAGCTGGGATTACAGGCACGTGCCACCATGCCCAGCTAATGTTTTTTGTATTTTTAGTAGAGACGGGGTTTCACCATGTTGACCAGGATGGTCTCGACCTCTCGACCTCGTGATCCACCTGCCTCGGCCTCCCAGAGTGCTGGGATTACAGGCGTGAGCCACCGCGCCCGGCCGAGATCCTATCTCTTAAAAAAAAATTTGCCAGGTGGTACGCACCTGTAGTCTCAGCTACTCAGGAGGCTGAGGGAAGGATCATTTGAGCTCAGAAGTTGGAGGCTGCAGTGAGCTGATCACATCACTGCACTTCAGCCTGAGCCACAGAGGGTGACCCTATCTCTAAAATAAATAAATAATTTAAAAATTTGGCCAGGCAAGATGGCTAACACCTGTGATCCTAGCACTTTGGGAGGCCGAGGCAGGCAGACTATCTGAGATCAGGAGTTCGAGACCAGCCTGGCAAACACAGTGAAACCCCGTCTATACTAAAAATATAAAAAATTAGCTGCGCGTGGTGGTGCATGCATGTAATCCCAGCTACTCAGGAGTCTGAGGCAGGAGAATTGCCTGAACCCAGGAGGCAGAGGTTGCAGTGAGCCAAGATCGTGCAACTGCCCTCTAGCCTGGGTAACAGAGACTCCATCTCAAAAAAAAAAAAAAAAAAAAAAAAAAAAAAAAAAAAAAATATATATATATATATATATATATATATATATATATATATATATATATATATATATAAAGCAGGAGTGTTTTAGGGCCAGCAAGGGGTTTGCTGTGGCTGGACAATGAACAGAGGGGAAGGAGGCTCGGGGGAGGGCCGTGGGGTGCTCTTGTCCAGTCCGCACCTCTTCATCTTCCTCATGCCCTTTGCTTTGGGACGCCAGCTCCTTGCCTTCTCTGCCACTGCCCCTCAAGGACCGAGGCTCCTTCTTTCCATTAATGCCAGCTTCTCTCCCATTCCCCCAGCATCTACTCTGGTAAACTCTGTGGTTTGTGTGGAAACTATGATGGCAGCAGTGACAATGACAACCTGAAGTCGGATGGCAGCCCGACAGCAGACCAGGAGGAGCTGGGGAAGAGCTGGGAGACGGATGAGGACGAGGACCAGGAGTGAGCAAGGAGCCCTCCCACTGGGGCTCCGGGAGGGTCCTGTCCCCTTCCTGGCGCTCTCTCTTTTTTTTTCCGAAAGGGAGTTTTGCTCTTGTTGCCCAGGCTAGAGCGCAATGGTGTGATCTCAGCTCGCCGCAAGCTCTGCCTCCCAAGTTCAAGCGATTCTCCAGCTTCAGTCTCCCAAGTAGCTGGGATTACAGGCATACGCCACTATGCCCAGCAACTTTTGTATTTTTAGTAGAGACAGTGTTTCTCCATGTTGGTCAGGCTGGTCTTGAACTCCCAACCTCAGGTGATCCACCCACTTTGGCCTCCCAAAGTGCTAGGATTACAGGCGTGAGCCACCACACCAGTCTGGGCCCTCCCTTTAAAAAATGATTGGTATTGCCCCTTTCTCGTCTCTATCCTGGAGACTTCAAGTTGTTCTTTCAATTGCTCAATGTCCTTTTTTTTGTTTATTTGTTTTTAGAGACAGGGTCTTGCTCTGTCACCCAGGTTGGAGTGCAGTGGTGCAATCACAACTCACTGCAGCCTCCAACTCCTGGGCTCAAGTGATCCTCCCACCTCAGCCTCCTGAGTAGCTGGGACTATGGATGTACACCACCAAACCCAGCTAATTTCATATTTTTTTCTGAAGAAATGGGATCTCACTGAGTTGCTGCTGGGCTGGGACTCCTGAGCTCAAGCCATTCTCCCAGCCTCAGCCTTCCACAGTGCTTGGCCAGGGATCAGTGTTCAAACATCCTCTGGGAGGGGTTTCACGGCCTGCCAGCCTTGCTGCCTGCTGGGCGAGGGCTGAGCTGGATTCAAGCCTTTGTCCTTAGGGCATTTGGGGTGGGTCTCTTGCAGGTGTCAGAAGAACCAGGTGGTGAATCCCCCGTCTTGTGATTCATCCCTGCAGAGCAGCATGTCGGGGCCAAGGTTCTGTGGACGGCTGGTTGACACCCGTGGCCCGTTTGAGTATGAAGGAGGGCAGGCAGGGTCACATGCACGGGGCGCTGCTTGGTACCTGGGGTCCCCCAAGGCTCTGTCCCCACTCGGCCATTCCCCCTGACCTGGTCTCTCCCCTCAGGACATGCCTGCTGCACATGAAGGCCACCTCCTTCTTCAACAGCTGCATGTTTGATATGTGCAACTTCCAGGGACTGCAGCACGTGCTGTGCACACACATGTCCACCATGACCACCGCCTGCCAGGATGCGGGCTACGCCGTGAAGCCCTGGAGGGAACTCCAATTCTGCCGTGAGTTGCAGGGGAGAGGCTGGACATGGTGGCTCAGGCCTGTAATCCCAGCACTTTGGGAGGCTGAGACAGGTGGATCAACTTGAGGTCAGGCATTCAAGACCAGCCTGGCCAACATGGCAAAACCTCGTCTCAACTAAAAATACAAAAATTAGCCGGGCATGGTGGCAGCATACACCTGTAATCCTAGCTACTCTGGAGGCTGAGGCAGGAGAATCACTTGAACCCAGGAGGTGGAGGTTGCAGTGAGCCAAGATCACGCCACTACGCTCCAGCCTGGGTGACAGAGTGAGACTTCATCTCAAATAATAATAAATAAATAAATAAATAAATAGAAGAAATAAATAAAAATAGAAAAATTAGCTGGGCATGGAGGTTGGCTCCTGTAATCCCAGCTACTCAGGAGGCCAAGGCAGGAGAATCGCTTGAACCCGGGAGGTGGAGGTCACAGTAAGCTGAGATCATGCCACTACACTAGCCTGGGCCAGAGTGAGACTCCTTTTTTTTTTTTTTTTTTTTTTTTTAAGTGTTTCTGTGCAGCCCAGGTCATCACATGTGGGCACATGGTACAGGCCCTAGGCAGGGGAGGCGACAAGTTTGCCTCCCAGCTCCTGGTGTGGCCCAGCTGTTTGGGGAAGCTGTTTAGGGTAGGTCTATACCCTGAATCAGACCTCACAGGTGGCCCCAGTCCCCTGCGGGCCAACAGCTCACCTGGGGCATGTCTACACAGCAGTGCTGCCAGTGGTGAGTGATGGATCCATCTGCTCCTGCCAGCCAGGCTCCTTGGGGAAGCTTTTCGCAGTCACTCTCTCTTCTGGAGATTGGCCAGAAGCCTGGAGCTGGGGCCTGTCCTTCCTGTTTCTCACCCAGCCCTGTGGCTTGTTGATTTCCTTCTCACCCAAGCTTCTCCCTCCACCAGCAATGGCCTGCCCGCCCAACAGCAGGTACTCCCTGTGTGCCAAGCCGTGCCCTGACACCTGCCATTCAGGATTCTCCGGCATGTTCTGCTCAGACCGGTGCGTGGAGGCCTGTGAATGCAATCCGGGCTTCGTCCTCAGCGGCCTCGAGTGCGTGCCTCGCTCCCAGTGTGGGTGCCTCCATCCTGTAGGCAGCTACTTCCAGGTGAGTGGCTGCGTGAACCTCTCAGCCCTGCAGCCAGAAAGGGCCTGCCCTCTGCTGTCACATCCCCTGCAGGCTCTATCTTTTCTTTTTCTTTTTTGTTTGAAATGGAGTGTTGCTCTGTTGCCAGGCTAGAGTGCAGTGGCATGGTCTTGGCTCACTGCAAACTCTGCCTCCCAGGTTCAAGCGATTCTCCTGCCTCAGTCTCCCGAGTAGCTGGGACTACAGGCGCATGCCACCATGCCCAGCTAAATTTTGTATTTTTAGTAGAGATGGAGGGGTTTCACCATGTTGGCCAGGATGGTCTTGATCTCTTGACCTCATGATCTACCTGCCTTGGCCTCCTAAAGTTCTGGGATTATAGGTGTGAGCTACTGCACCCAGCCTCTTTCTTTTTTTTTTTTCTATCTTTCTCTTTTTTGGGGGGTGTGCATCTGGCACCCAGGCTGGAGTGTAGTGGCGCGATCTCGGCTCACTGCAACCTCTGCCTCCCAGGTTCAGGTGATTCTCCTACCTCAGCCCCTGAGTAGCTGGGATTACAGGCATGCACCACCATACCAGGCTTATTTTTGTATTTTTAGTACAGATGGGGTTTCTCCATGTTGGCCAGGTTGGTCTCAAACTCCTGACCTCAAGTGATCTGCCTGTCTTGGCCTCCCAAAATGCTGGGATTACAGGCGTGAGCCACCACACCTGGCCTCAGACAGATCAGTTTTGGCTGAAGCGATGAACAGACGCAGAAGTGATGGAGTGACTGAAGCAGTGAATGGATGCTGAGCTTTTGCAGTGAATCTTGGAGCTGCTGGAAGAGAGGCTGTCTCCCCACAATTTGCCAGTGATCTGAACAGCTCTGGTGGGCTCTGGTGTCAGATCTGGGAAAAAAAAAAAAAAAAGCCAAACACTTGTCGTGTGCAGTGGCTCACACCTGTAATCCCAGCACTTCAGGAGGCCGAGGTTGGAGAATCACCTGAGGTCTGGAGCTTGAGACCAGCCTAGGCAACATGATGAAACCCCATCTCTACTAAAAACACAAAAATTAGCTGGACATGGTGGTGGGTACCTGTAATCCCAGCTACTTGGGAGGCTGAAGCAGGAGAATTGCTTGAACCTGGGAGGCAGAAGTTGCAGTGAGCCAAAATTGTGCCATTGCACTCCAGCCTGGTCAACAGAGCAAGACTCCGTCTCAAAAAGAAAAAAAAACAAAAACACTTTCTCTTCCTTTCCTGCTGTCTTCCCCCAGGCAGGGGAGCAGTGGTATAAGCCAGGTTGCAGAGAGCTGTGCGTCTGTGAAAGCAACAACAGAATTCGCTGTCAGCCCTGGAGGTGTAAGGCCCAGGAGTTCTGTGGTCAACAGGATGGCGTCTATGGCTGCCATGCCCAAGGTGAGCTGTCAGGGTGGAAGGTGAGCCGGGAGCTGCCCAGGGAACCCCAGGCAAGGTGATGGGTCATGCCCAAAGCAGCTTCCCCAGACAGCTGAGTCTCCACCAGGGCCTGGGAGTGGGCGGCATTTTCAAGGACCCAGGGCGTGAGGTTGGGGACAGCAGTGCTTCTCTTCGGCACCTCCAAGCCAGGCCAACCACACTTTCTAGGGAAACACCACGTCTGTGGGTGGGCCGTGGGGACCAGGCCAATGTGGCCTAACCAGGATGGCAGCTCTGGGTCAGAGCTTCCAGGGCATGGAGCAGTGAGACTGTGAACTCCGTCTTCTCCTCGAAGGTGCCGCCACCTGCGCGGCCTCAGGTGACCCCCACTACCTGACCTTCGACGGGGCCCTGCACCACTTCATGGGCACCTGCACGTATGTCCTGACCCGGCCTTGCTGGTCCAGGTCCCAAGACAAATATTTTGTTGTGAGCGCCACCAACGAGAACCGCGGGGGGAACGTGGAGGTCTCCTACATCAAAGCCGTCCACGTGGCGGTGTTTGACCTCAGCATCTCACTGCTCAGAGGCCGCAAGGTCTTGGTATGTGTCTTCCTCCTGCCTCCTGGACCCTGAACACCTAGCCTGTCTGCTTCTTTCCTGGGCCCCACCTTGCCTACATACCCACCTCTCTGGCTCCTTGGAATACCCGGGAGGCACCTGCAGCTGACCCGGACCCTTTTCCTTGCACCCCTCCTCCCTCTGAAATACTGACCAGCACCAGCCCCTCCAGCTCTCAGCTTTTTGCCCTCGTCCCTTTTTTAATTAATTAATTTATTTATTTTTTATTTTGAGACAAGGTCTTGCTCTGTCACCCAGGCTGGAGTACAGTGGTGCAGTCATAGCTCACTGCAGCCTTGACCCCTTAGGCTCAAGGGATCCTCCTGACTCGGCCTCCCAGATAGCTGGAACTACAGACGTGTACCACCACGCGCGGCTAATTTCTTTTAATTTTTGTAGAGACAGGGTTTCTCTATGTTGCCCAGGCTGATCTTGAAATCCTGGCCTCAAGTGATCCTCCCACCTTGGCCTCTCAAAGTGCTGGGATTGCAGGAGCGAGCCCCTGTTCTTGTCTCTGTCCCGAGTTCCTTCTTGACTCTCCTTTCTACGTCCTCCCTGCCTCTGCAGCTGAATGGCCATCGGGTGGCCCTACCTGCGTGGCCTGCAAGAGGCCAGGTGACCATAAGACTCAGCAGCTCCTTTGTTCTCCTCTACACGAACTTTGGGCTCCAGGTTCGCTACGACGGGAGCCACTTGGTTGAAGTGACAGTCCCCTCCTCCTATGGCGGCCAGCTCTGTGGGCTGTGTGGTGAGCTTCCTGGGCACCTGCTGGAAAACCTGGGACAATGAGTAGGAGTATGACCTGGTCCCAGTTCCCCCCACATCTCTGTGAGGTGTTCTAAATGCTTGTTTTTTTCTTTTTTCTTTTCTTTTTTTTTTTTTTTTGAGGCGGAGTTTCGCTCTTGTTGCCCAGGCTAGAGTGCAATGGCACGATCTCGGCTCACTGCAACCTCCGTCTCCTGGGTTCAAGCAATTCTCCTGCCTCAGCCTCCCAAGTAACTGGGATTATAGGCATGTGCCACCATGCCCAGCTAATTTTTTGTATTTTTAGTAGAGACGGGATTTCTTCATGTTGGTCAGGCTGGTCTCGAACTCCCAATCTCAGGTGATTCCACCCACCTCGGCCTGCCAAAGTGCTGGGATTACCGGTGTGAGCCACCGTGCCTGGCCTTCTAAGTGCTTGTTAACTGACTAATTGATTGAGGACATTAGGCATGAAGGTAGGTGTTAAGGGAAGATGGAGATGAAGAGACAGAAAGGGGTGGGGGGCGGTGGCTCAAGCCTGTAAATGCAGCCCTTTGAGAGCCCAAGGAGGGTAGCTCACCTGATGTCAGGAGTTCGAGACCAGCCTGGCCGACATGATGAAACCTCATATACTAAAAAATACAAAATTTAGCCAGGTGTGGTGGTACATGCCTATAATCCTAGCTACTCAGGAGGCTGAGGCAGGACAATTGTTTGAACCCAGGAGGCAGAGGTTGCAGTGAGCTGAGATTGTGCCACTGCACTCCAGCCTGGGCTACAGAGCAAGACGCCTATCTCAAAAAAGAAGAAAAGAGGCCAGGAACAGTGGCCCAGGCTTGTAATCCCAGCACTTTGGGAGGCTGAGGCGGGTGGATCATGAGATCAGGAGTTCGGGACCAGTCTGGCCAACATAATGATATCCCATCTTTACCAAAAACAGAAAAATGAGCTGGGTCTGGTAGCACACGCTAGTAGTCCCAGCTACTTGGGAGGCTGAGGCAGGAGAATCGCTTGAACCCAGGAGGCAGAGGTTGCAGTGAGCTGAGACCATGCCATGGCACTCCAGCCTTGGTGACAGAGTGAGACTCGGTCTCAAAAATAAATAAATAGAAAGAGTTGACCTTGCTATGTAGAGTGAAGAGTGGGGATGCCTCTTCTGGTTAGGAGGATGGTGGCCCTGGGGCCTGGCCTGCTGGAGGGCCCCTTGTTGCCTGGCTGAACGATTCCCTCCTCCAGGAAACTACAACAACAACAGCTTGGATGACATCCTGCTCCCCGACGGAAAGCTCGCAGGCGATTCTGTGCAGCTGGGGGCGGCCTGGAAGTTACCCGAATCCTCTGAACCTGGGTGAGCTGGGGGTGGGGGAGCCAGGCGGGAGGAGCTGGGCCTGTGAGGGCAGCTTGGAGGTGTCCTCCGTGTGTCCCCTCTTCCCCTTGCTGTACCTCCCTACTGGCAGAAACCGGCCAATCTCTCCCATTTAGTCTCTCCGAGATAGGAGTTGGTAAGAAGTTGTTCTGACATCCCACACCCACGCCTGCTGATTTCTCTCATGTTTAGTGATCCCTTTGGAGGGCCCATTTGGGAAGTCCATCCTGAGGTCTAGCCTTTTTCCTTCCTGCTGCATCTCCTGGCCTTCCTACTTGGGGGCACCATTTTGTCCTCTGCCCCGGCATCCCTCTCTGTACCTGTCCACTTTTTGTTTTTGTTCTGTTGTGTTTGAGGCCGTCTTGCTCTGTCACCCAGGTGGCGGTGCAGCGGTATGATCTCAGCTGACCAGGTTCAAGTGATTCTCCTGCCTCAGCCTCCTGAGGAGCTGGGATTAATGGGCGCCTGCCACCACGCCCAGCTAATTTTTGTATTTTTAGTAGAGATGAGAGTCACCGTATTGGCCAGGCTGGTCTCAAACTCCTGACCTCAGGTGATCTGCCCGCCGTGGCCTCCCAAAATGCTGGAATTACAGGTGAGAGCCACTGTGCCAGGCCCCTGTCCGCTTTTGTTTTGGTTTGGGAGACAGTTCCTCAGGCCCTCAGTCTTTTCTTTGAGACAGAGTCTTGCTCTGTTGCCCAGACTGGAGGGCAGTGGTGCAGTCATAGCTCACCGGAGCCTCCCAACTGCTGGGCTCAAGCCATCCTCCCACCACAGCCTCCCAAGTAGCTGGGACTACAGGCACATGCCACCATGCCTGGCTAATTTTTTTTCTTTTTTCTTTTTTTTTTTTTTTTGAGACGGAGTTTCGCTCTTGTTACCCAGGCTGGAGTGCAATGGCGCGATCTCGGCTCACCGCAACCTCCGCCTCCCGGGTTCAGGCAATTCTCCTGCCTCAGCCTCCTGAGTAGCTGGGATTACAGGCACGTGCCACCATGCCCAGCTAATTTTTTGTATTTTTAGTAGAGACGGGGTTTCACCATATTAACCAGGATGGTCTTGATCTCTCAACCTCGTGATCCACCCGCCTCAGCCTCCCAAAGTGCTGGGATTACAAGCTTGAGCCACCGCGCCCGGCCAATTTTTTTTTCTTTGAGGCAGAGTCTTTCTCTGTTGCCCAGACTGGAGTGCAGTGGTGAGATCTTGGCTTACCACAACCTCTGCCTCCTGGGTTCAAGCGATTCTCCTGCCTCATTCTCCTGAATAGCCGAAATTATAGGCATGTGCCACCATGCCCAGCTAATTTTTGAATTTTTAGTAGAGATAGGGGTTTCACCATGTTGGTCAGGCTGGTCTCAAACTTGTGACCTCACGATTCACTCACCTTGGCCTCCCAAAGTGCTGGGATTACAGGCATGAGTCACCATGCCCAGCTGTAGTTTGGCTAATTTTTAAAAATTGGCCGGGCGCGGTGGCTCAAGCCTGTAATCCCAGCACTTTGGGAGGCCGAGGCGGGTGGATCACAAGGTCAAGAGATTGAGACCATCCTGGTCAACAAGGTGAAACCCCATCTCTACTAAAAATACAAAAAATTAGCTGGGCATGGTGGTGCGTGCCTGTAATCTCAGCTACTCAGGAGGCTGAGGCAGGAAAATTGCCTGAACCAGGAGGCAGAGGTTGCGGTGAGCCGAGATCGCGCCATTGCACTCCAGCCTGGATAACAAGAGCGAAAGTCCATCTCAAAAAAAAAAAAAAAAAAAAAAAAAATTTGTATAGAGTCCTTCAGCGCTGCCTTGAAAAAAAAAATTGTGTAGAGATGGGATCCGGGGTTGGGGGACTAGGGTGGGGATAGCATTAGGAGAAATACCTAATGTAGATGATGGGGTGATGGATGCAGCCAACCACCATGGCACGTGTATACCTATGTAACAAACTTGGAGGTTCTGCACATGTACCCCAGAACTTAAAGTACAATAAAACATTTTTTTGTGTAGAAATGGGATCTCACTATGTTGCCCAGGCTGGTGTTGAACTCCTGGTCTCAAGCAGTTCTCCTGCCTTGGCCTCCTGAAGTGCTGGGATTACAAGCGTGAGCCACTGCGCCCAGCCTGTGGCCCTCAGTTTGTATCCTCTCCACATTCAGCTGTTTCCCTGTGGGTGGCAAGCCCTCCAGCTGCCAGGAGAACAGCATGGCAGACGCCTGGAGCAAGAACTGTGCGATCTTAATAAACCCTCAGGGTAAGACATGTCCCCGTTGGTCCTTTTTCCTCCCTGAGGGATGGGAGGCCAGGGAGGGAGTCTGGTCAGGGAGGGAGAAACAGGACCAGAAAGAGAGAGGAAGGCAAATGGGAACACAGGGCCAGCCAGCGGTCACCTTCTTGGAACCTACGACTGACTGGTCTTTGTGTCTCAGGCAGTAGATAAATCTGGGATTTTTTTTTTTTTTTTTTTTTTTTAACATGGAGTCTCGCTCTGTCACCCAGGCTGGAGTGCAGTGGCGCAATCTTGGCTCACTGCGATCTTGGCTTCCGGGGTTCAAGCCATTCTCCTGCCTCAGACTCCTGAGTAGCTGGGACTACAGGTGTGCACTACCATGCCCAGCTAATTTTTATATTTTTAGTAGAGATGGGGTTTCAGCATATTGGCCAGGCTGGTCTTGAACTCCTGACCTCGTCATCTTCCACTTTGGCCTCCCAAAGTGCTGGGATTACAGGTGCGAGTCACCACACTCTGCGGTTTTTTTTTGTATTTAAAATGTTTTAATAGAGATGGAGGAGTCTCACTATGTAGCCCAGGCTGGTCTGGAACTACGGACCTCAAGGGATCCTCTCACCTCAGCCTCCCAGGTAGTTGGGATGACAGGCATCATGTGCCACCATGCCTGGCTGTTTTTTCTTTTTTCTTGTTTTTTTAGAGACAAGGTCTCACTCTGTCGCCCAGGCTGGAATGTAGTCGTATGATCACAGCTCACTGCAGGCTTGAAATCCTGGGTCAAGTAGTCCTCCTGCCTCAGCCTTTGGAGTAGCTGGGAACACAGGCATGCACCACCATGCCCAACTAATGTTTTTTTTTTTTTTTTTTTTTTTTTTTTTTGAGACAGGAGTCTAGCTCTGTTACCCAGGCTGGAGTGCAATGGCATGATCTTGGCTCACTGCAACCTCTGGCTCTTGGGTTCAAGCTATTCTCCCACCTCAGGTTCCTGAGTAGCTGGGACTACAGGCACATGCCACCATGCCCAGCTAATTTTTATATTTTTAGTAGAGACGGGGTTTCACCATGTTGGCCAGTGTGGTCTTGAGCACCTGACCTCAAATGATCTGCCTGCCTTGGCCTCCCAAAGTGCTGGGATTACAGGCGTGAGCCACTGTGCCTGGCCTAATTTTTTTTTTTTTTTTTTTTTTTTTTTGAGACGGAGTTTAGCTCTTGTTACCCAGGCAGGAGTGCAATGGCGCGATCTCGGCTCACCGCAACCTCCGCCTCCTGGGTTCAGGCAATTCTCCTGCCTCAGCCTCCTGAGTAGCTGGGATTACAGGCACACGCCACCATGCCCAGCTAATTTTTTGTATTTTTAGTAGAGATGGGGTTTCACCATGTTGACCAGGATGGTCTCGATCTCTTGACCTCGTGATCCACCCGTCTCAGCCTCCCAAAGTGCTGGGATTACAGGCTTGAGCCACCGCGCCCGGCCTCTTTTTTTTTTTTTTCTTCAAAGTGCATGAAGTGAACTAAGTTTTTAATATTTTGTACAGATGAGGACATGCTGTGCTGCCCTGGCTGGTCTCGAACTCCTGGGCGCAAGTGATTCTCCTGTTTTGCTCTCTTAAAGTGCTGAGGTTACAGGCGGGAGCCACCACACAAATCTGGGCTTTGTTTGTTTGTTTTGTTTTTATTCAGAAGGGTCGTACTCTGTCGCCTAGGTTGGAGTGCAGTGGCACAATGATAGCTCATTCTACTGCCTCGGCCTTCTGAGTAGGGGGCTACAGGTGTGCACCACCATCCTTGGCTAATTTTCATATTTTTTGTAGAGACAGAGTTTCACCGTGTTGCCCAGGCTGGAAAATCCAGGGTTTTTTTGTTTGTTTGTTTTGAGACGGAGTCTCGCTCTGTGGCCCAGGCTGGAGTGCGGTGGCGCAATCGCAGCTCACTGCCACCTTTGCCTCCCAGATTCAAGAACTTCTCCTGTCTCAACCTCCCGAGTAGCCTGGACTACAGGTGCGGGCCACCATGCCCCCCTAATTTTTATATTTTTAGTAGAGATTGGGTTTTGATATGTTGGTCGGGTGAGTCTCGACCTCCTGACCTCAAGTGATCTACCCACCGTGGCCTCCCAGAGTGCTGGCGTTGCAGCTGTGAGCCACTGCGCCTGGCGGGAAAATTCAGGTTTTGAGTGAAGTGGATGTCCAGTCAGCCCCGGGGAAGCCACATGGCCCCGCTCCTTCCCGGCCCCTCCCCTGGCTCACCTGCCTTCTCTTCTCCTGCAGGACCCTTCTCTCAGTGTCATCAGGCGGTGCCCCCTCAGTCCATCTTCGCCAGTTGCGTGCAAGGCCAGTGTGGGACCAATGGTGACACCACGGCCCTGTGCCATTCCCTGCAGGCCTACGCGTCCCTGTGTGCCCGGGCTGGCCAGGCCCCTGCCTGGCGGAACAGAACCTTCTGCCGTGAGTGAGCTGGCCGCCTGTCCCCACAGCCCAGAGGAACCCTCCAGAACCCTGCACTCCCTTTCTTCCTCCAAATTCTTTTTCTTTTTGAGACGGAGTCTCTCTCTGTTGCCCAGGCTAGAGTGCAGTGGCGTAATCTCGGCTCACTGCAACCTCCACCTCCTGTGTTTAAGCAGTTCTCCCACCTCAGCCTCCCGAGTAGCTCGGATTACAGGCATCCCCCACCACACCCGGCTAATTTTGGTATTTTTAGGGGACACAGGATTTCACTATGTCGTCCAGGCTGGTCTCAAACTCCTGACCTCGTGATCCGCCACCTTGGCCTCCCAAGGTGCTGAGATTATAGGCGTGAGTCAGTGCGCCCAGCTTCTTCCTCTGAATTCTGCACCTCTGCCCTTCTCTGCACAGCCTGGCTCTCAGTGGACACATTTTGCTTCCTCCGTCCCCCATTCCAGCCTTTCTGCAAGCCCAACGCCATCTTCTCTGGCTATCCCAGGGCCCTCCATTGCATTCTCACCTTCCCCAAAGTTCTGCCTTTATTTGGTTAATGTCTCCTTCTGCTTTTACCTGGGCTGGCCTTGTTCCCTTCCTTTCTTAACCAGGAACTCCTTTTTTTTTTCTTCAAAGTTGTGGTAAATTTGGGAGGCTGAGGCAGGAGGATCACTTGAGTCTAGGAGTTCAAGACCAGCCTGAGAAACACAACAACATCCTCATCTCTACAAAAAAATTAAGGAATTTGGCCAGGCTCAGTGGTTCATGCCTATAATCCTAGCACTTTGGGAGGTCAAGGTGGGCGGATCACTTGAGGTCAGGAGTTGGAGATCATCCTGGCTAACATGATGAAACCATGTCTCCACTAAAAATACAAAAAATTAGCTGGGCATGGTGGTGGGTGCCTGTAATCCCAGTTAAGCAGGAGACTGAGGCAGGGAAATTGCTTAAACAGGAGGCAGAGGTTGTGGTGAGGCAAGGTCAGATCAGTGTACTCCAGCCAGGGTGACAAGAGTGAAAAACCAAACCAAACCAAAAGCTGTGAATGGATGATGGTAATAGCTGCCCAGCAACGTGAACGTACTTAGTGCTGTTGAAGTGTACATGTAAAAATAGTTGGCCAGGTGTGGTGGCTGGCTCACGCCTGTTCATCCCAGCACTTTGGGAGGCCGAGGCGGGCGGACCACCTAAGGTCAGGAGTTCAAAACAAGCCTGACCAACATGGAGAAACCCTATCTCTACTAAAAAAAATACAAAATTAGGGCATGGTGGTGCATGTCTGTAGTCCCAGCTACTCAGGTGGCTGAGGCAAGAGAATCACTTGAACCCAGGAGGTGGAGGTTGTGGTAAGCCAAGATCCTGCCATTGCACTCCAACCTGGGCAACAAGAGCGAGACTCCATCTCAAAAAATAAAAAAATAAAAAAAAAAGAAGAAATAAATAAAAATGGTTAAAATGGTAAATTTTACGTCTGTTTGTTTGTGAGAGTCTTGCTGTCCCCAAGGCTGGAGTGGAGTGGTCTGACCTCACTCGCCTCACTGTAACTTCTGCCTCCCAGGTTCAAGTGATTCTCATGCCTCAGCCACCTGAGTAGCTGGGACTACAGGCATGTGCACCACACCCAGCTAAGTTCTGTATTTTTAGTAGAGATGGTTTTTTACCATATTGGCCAGCCTGGTCTCAAACTCCCAACCTCAGGTGATCCGCCTGCCTTGACCTCCCAAAGTGCTGGGATTACAGGCATGAGCCACGTGCCCAGCCACTACTAAGAGCTTTTGATGCCCTAAGGTTTGGGGGCTGAAGATGTCCCCCCCACTCTTCCTAATGCTCTTATTTTCCTTAGCTATGAGGTGCCCACCTGGCAGCAGCTACAGCCCCTGTGCCAGCCCCTGCCCAGCCACCTGCAACAGCATAAACACCCCTAGGGACTGCCCCAAAGCACTGCCCTGTGCTGAGGGCTGCGAATGTCAGAGAGACCACATCTTGAGCGGAACTTCATGCGTGCCCCTCGGCCAGTGTGGCTGCACCGACCCAGCGGGCTCCTACCACCCGGTGAGAGGCCAGCTAGCAGGGGCCCTGCCCTTTCCAGATCCACACGTTTAGGGTCAGGACAAGCTCAGGAGAGGCAGGAGGAAGGCTCAGACCCTGGGAGGGGCAGGGCTGGCCAATGCCTGGGGGCAAGGAGGAAGGTCAGATGCTGCAGTCAGCTTTGACCTGGGCATCAGCCCATCTCCTGATTCCAAGTTTCTGTTGGCTCTGCCAATCCCTGTGGCCCACAGGTCGGGGAGCGCTGGTACACAGAGAACACCTGCACCAGGCTCTGCACCTGCTCCATCCACAACAACATCACCTGCGTCCAAAGCACCTGCAAACCCAACCAGATATGCTGGGCCCTGGATGGGCTGCTCCGTTGTCGGGCCTCAGGTAAGAGAACCATGGTGATGGGGGGACCCCAGTGATCGGGGGACCCCACAGCCCTGAGGCCAGCTCTCTCAACTCCCCAACAGACTCCCTGCTGCCTGTGGCACTCAGATTCAGGTTTTGGCTGGTAACTCTGCTGTAGTGAAGAGCTTCGGGTGGGAAAGGTGACCTCCAACTGCTGAGAAGGGGGCCTCAGGGTTCACCCAACCTTCCCCTGTAGCTGCCACCAACTTAGACAGGGTATTACAAATCCTTTCTGGGCCAGACGCGGTGGTTCACACTTGTAATCGCAGCACTTTGGAAGGACAAGCCAGGTGGGTCGATTGAGACTGGGAGTTTGAGGCCAGCCTGGCCAACATGGCCAACATGGCTAAACCCCATCTCTACTAAAAATACAAAAATTAGCCAAGCACTGTGGCGGGTGCCTGTAATCCCAGCTACTCGAGAGGCTGAGGCAGGAGAATCCTTGAAACCAGGAGGCGGAGATTGTAGTGAGTGGAGATCGCACCATTGAACTCCAGCCTGGGCGACAAAACTCCATCTCTAAATAAATAAATGAATAAATAAATCCTTCCCTGGAGGCTGGGCATGGTGCTTACGCCTTTAATCCCAGTGCTTTGGGAAGCTGATGTGGGATCACTTGAGGCCAAGAGTTCAAGACCAACCTGGGCAACACAGCAAGACCCCATCTCTACAAAAAATAAAAACTAAAAAATTAAAAATAAAAAAGACATCACACCTGTAGTCTCAGCTCCTTGGGAGGCTGAGGTAGGAGGATCTCTTGAGCTCAGGAATTAGAGTTTGCAGTGCACTATGATCTTGCCACTGCACTCCAGCCTGGGTAACAGAAGACCTGTCTCTTAAAAAAAAGGTTTTTTAAAAATTAGTTGAACAGGGTACTTCATGCCTGTAGTCCCAGCTACTCTGGAGACTGAGGTAGGAAGGTTGCTTGAGCCCAGGAGTTTGAGGCTACAGTGAGCTATGATCATGCCACTGCATTCCACCCCGGGTGACAGAGAGAGACAGTGTCTCAAAAAAAATAATAATCATTCCTCCGAAGAATCGTGCTCCCCTCCACCCATAAACTTCATGCCTCTCAGCCCTGGCCCCAGGGTTTTTTTTTTTTTTTTTTTTTGAGACAGAGTCTCTGGTGCTCAGGCTGGATGCAGTGGCACAATCTTGGCTCACTGCAACCTCCATCTCCCTGGTTCAAGTGATTCTCCTGCCTCAGCCTCCCAAGTAGCTGGGATTACAGGTGCACTTCACCACACCCTAGTTTTTCTGCATTTTTAAAGTAGAGATGGGGTTTCACCATGTTGGTCAGACTGGTCTCAGACCAGCCCTCCTGGGCCTCCCAAAGTGCTGGGATTACAGGCATGAGCCACTGGGCATGGCCAGACCTGGGGTCTTGACACTTTTCTGGAAGGCAGGGGAACCCAGGTCTGGTTTCCCAGGGACCCTGTACCTGCCAGAGGGAGGGCCATAGCCCAGCTGTCTCTCTGTCCTCCCAGGTATGGGAGCGTGTCAGCTCCCAGGGGAGTCCCACTATGTGAGCTTTGATGGTAGTAACCATTCCATCCCCGATGCCTGCACTCACATCCTGGTGAAAGTCTGCCACCCCGCCATGGACTTGCCCTTCTTCAAGATCAGTGCAAAGCATGAGAAGGAGGAAGGTGGGACTGAGTCTTTCCGCCTTCACGAGGTCTACATTGACATCTACGATGCCCGGGTCACCCTAAAGAAGGGCCACCATGTGCTGGTGAGCAGGGTGTGGTGGCCGGGGTTGGGAGGGAGTGTTGGGGAGAGGACTCCAGTCCCTCCTCCTACTCACTGTCACTGCCCTTCTGTTTAGATCAACAGCAAACAGGTCACCCTTCCCGTGATCTCCCAGATCCCCGGGGTCAGCATCAAGTCCAGCAGCATCTACACGATAGTTAACTTCAAGATTGGCGTGCAGGTCAAGTTTGATGGGAATCATCTCTTAGAGATTGAAATCCCCACAACCTACTATGGAAAGGTGAGGAAAACATCTGGCTCTGTTCACAGGGTAGGCAGCACCAGGAAGACTGATGGGTGGCAGGGGTGGGAGGCAGTGTTCACATCCTGCCTGCCCAAAGAGGACACTCTTAAGGATGGAGCAGGGCAGCAGAGGAGTGTGCCTTTCTGTGTAGGATGGATGAGGATGTTCCCAGGAAAAACCACTCTCAGCTGGGTGCAGTGGCTCATGCCTGTAATCTCAGTACTTTGGGAGGCTGAGGCAGGTGGATCATCTGAGGTCAGGAGTTCAAGACCAGCCTGGCCAACATGGTGAAACGCTGTCTCTACTAGAAATAATAATTTTTAAAAATTAGCCAGGCACAGTGGTGTATGCTTGCAATCCCAGCTACTTGGGAGGCTGAGGTAGGAGAATCACTTGAACCCCAGAGGTGGACGTTGAAGTGATCCAAGATTGTGCCACTGCCCTCCAGCCTGGGCAACAAGAGCAAAACTCCATCTCAAAAAAAAAAAAAAAAAAAAAAAGAAAAGAAAGGAAAAGAAGAAAGAAAAACAGCTCTCATGCTTCCCCAGCACTGAAAAAGCACTCTGCCCACCCAGGTCTGCGGCGTGTGTGGGAACTTCAATGATGAGGAAGAGGATGAACTAATGATGCCCAGCGACGAACTAGCCCAGAGTGACAGTGAATTCGTGAACAGTTGGAAAGATAAGGACATTGACCCAAGGTAGTGGTCCCCTGAGACCCTCTAGCTTTTCTCTTTTCCATCCCTTCTCCCTTCCCCCTGCCTTCTTTCACTGAGATGGTTTCACTCTGTCACCCAGGCTGGAATGCAGTGGCATGATCTTGGCTCACTGCAACCTCTACCTCCGGGTTCAAGCGATTCTCCTACCTCAGCCTCCTGAGTAGCTGGGATTGCAGGCACCTGCCACCATGCCTGGCTAATTTTTGTATTTCACAGTAGAGACGGGGTTTCACAATTGTTAGCCAGGCTGGTCTCAAACTCCTGATCTAAGGCAATGTGCCCGCCTCAGCCTCCCGAAGTGCTGGGATTATAGACGTGAGCCAACCCTTCTAGCTTTTCTTTTTCATTTTTTTCTTTTCTTTTCTTCTTCTTTTTTATTTTTGAGATGGAGTCTTGCTCTATAAGCCAGGCCGGAGTGCAGTGCCACAATCTCGGCTCACTGCAACCTCCACTTCCTGGGTTCAAGCAATTCTTGTAGCTCTACCTCCCGAGTAGCTGGGATTACAGGTGCATACCACTATGCCCCATGCTCGGCTAGGCTAATTTTTGTATTTTAGGTAGAGAAGGGGTTTCACTACGTCCAGGCTGGTCTCAAACTCCTGAGCTCCAGTGATCTGCCCACCTCAGCCTCCCAAAGTGCTAGGATTACAGGCTAGAGCCACCTCGCCTGGTGACTCCTCTAGCCTTTCATAGCGACATGACATGGGAAGCTAGACTGTAGGGTGCAGCTGGGGCAGGAAGACCAGAATGTTTATTTTTTCTTCATCTTCAATTTTTTTTTTGTTTGTGTGTTTTGAGACAGAGTCTTGCTCTGCCACCCAGGCTACAGTGCAATGGCATGATCTCAGCTTACTGCAACCTCTGCCTCTTGGGTTCAAGCGATTCTCCTGCCTTAACCTCCCGAGTAGCTGGGATTACAGGCATGAGCCACCACGTCTGGCTAATTTTTTAATTTTTAGTAGAGATGGAGTTTCACCATATTAGCCAGGCTGGTCTCGAATTCCTTGACCTCAAGTGATCCACCCACAATGGCCTCCCAAAGTGCTGGGATTACAGGCCAGAATGTTGCTTTGTGTGTCTGATTTGAGGGTGATGGCTTCTGGACATTTTGGGGTGATGTGTGTAATTGATCCACCTCAAGGCTGCTAGAACCCAGTTAGAGAAATATGAAAGTCTTCCTTTCCTTACTTAGAAACCTTGGAGGTGGGGGCAGGAGCAGTGACTTATGCCTGTAATTCCAGCACTTTGGGAGGCCGAGACTGGAGGACCACTTGAGGCCAGGAGTTTGAGACTAGCCTAGGCAACATAGCAAGACCCCCATCTCTACAAAAAAAAATTAAAAACAAAAATTAGCCAGGCAAGGTGGCACATGCCTGTAGTCTCAGCTATTCAGGAGGCTTTAGGAGGAAGAATGCTTGAGTCCAAGATTTGAAGGCTGCAGTGAGCTATGATTGCATCACTGCACTCCAGCCTGGATGACAGAGCAAGACTCTGTCTTAAAGAGTTTAAAAACGGGCCAGGTGCCGTGGCTCACGCCTGTAATCCCAGCACTTTGGGAGGCCGAGGCAGGCAGATCACAAGGTCAGGAGTTTGAGACCAGCCTGACCAACAAGGTGAAACCCATCTCCACTAAAAGTCCAAAAAGTAGCCTGGTATGGTGGCAGGCACCTGTAATCCCAGCTACTCAGGAGGCTGAGGCAGGAGACTTGTTTGAACCCAGGAGGCAGAGGTTTCAGTGAGCTGAGATCTCACCATTGCACTCCAGCCTGGGCAACAGAGCGACACTCTGCCTTAAAAAAAGAAAAGAAAAAGTTTAAAAATGGCTGGGTGCAGAGGTTCATGCCTGTACTCCTGATACTTTATGAGGCTGATGTGGGAGGATTGCTTGAGCCTGAGAGTTTGAGACCAGCCTGGGCAACGTAGCAAGACCCCATCGCTACAGAAAAAAAGAAAGGAAAAGAAAAATAGCCAGGTGTGGTTAGTCCTAGCTACTCACGAGGCTGATGCAGGAGGATCCTCTGGGCCTGGGAGATTGAAACTGCAGTGAGCCTTGGTCACGACGCTGCACTCCAGCCTGGGCAACAGAGCGGGAAGGAGAAAAGAAAAGGGAACGTAGAAGGAGCCAAGGCCAATGGCAGGTTGGCCAAAGCTCAGAGCAGCCTCCCTGTGAACACAGAGGGATTGGGAGGCCGAGGAGGCCCTGAGAGCTCTCTCTGGGTCATTTGGGAGCACCAGATCATTATCATGGGGCCAGGCATGGCAGCTCAGGCCTATAATTTCAGCACTTTGGGAGGCTGAGGCGGGTAGATCACTTGAGGTCAGGAGTTCAAGACCAGCCTGGCCAATACAGTGAAACCCCATCTCTATTAAAAATACAAAAATTACCTTGGCTTGGTGGTGGGCGCCTGTAATCCCAGCTGCTCGGGAAGCTAAGGCATGAGAATCACCTTAACCTGAGATGTAGAGGTTGCAGTGAGCCAAGATTGCACCACTGTACTCCAGCCTGGGCCACAGAGTGAGTTTCTGTCTCCAAGAAAAACCAAAAACAAAAACATGGGCCAGGTGTGGTGGCGGGTGCCTGTAGTCCCAGCTACTCAGGAGGCTGAGGCAGAATAGCTTGAACCTGGGAGGGGAGATGGAGGTTGCAGTGAGCCGAGATCACACCGCTGCACTCCAGTTAGCCTGGGCGACAGAGCAAGACTCCCTCTCAAAAAAGAAAAAAAAAAAAAAAATCATGTTGTAGCAGGGGGACAGCTGTCCCTAGGCTGATTCCTTTCTTTTTCCTTCCCAGTTGTCAGACACTCCTGGTGGATGAGCAGCAGATCCTAGCGGAGCAGCTGGAGAACCGGAGTGGAAACTGCAGAGCAGCAGACCTCCGCAGGGCTCGGGAAAAGTGTGAGGCAGTGCTGCGGGCTCCCGCGTGGGCGCAGTGCGCCTCCCGCATAGACCTCACAGCCTTCCTGGTGGGCTGTACGAACACCCTCTGTGAGTTTGGAGGTCTCCACCACGCCCTCTGCGACGCTCTGCAAGCCTTCGGGGCCGCCTGCCAGAGCCAGGGGCTCAAGCCCCCACTCTGGAGAAACAGCAGCTTCTGCCGTGAGTGTGCCCTGCTGTAACCCCCAAACCACTCCCAAACCCCATTTCCCTCTCTGTTTCCCTGAGAACTCCCTCACCCTCCTTCCCATTTCCTCCTGATTCAGCCCTCATTGACTCTCTGATGAGAACTGTTTTTTAATTTATTATTTATTGATTGATGTAAATTTTTTTTGCTGGATGTGGTGGCTCACACTGGTAATCCCAGCACTTTGGGAAGCCGAGGCAGGTGGATCACAAGATCAGGAGATCGAGACCATCCTGGCTAATATGGTGAATCCCTATTTGTACCACAAGCACAAGAGAAACAGCTGGGTGTGGTGGAGAGCGTCTGTAGTCCCAGCTACTCAGGAGGCTGAGGCAGAGAATCTCTTGAACCCGGGAGGCTGAGGTTGCAGTGAGCTGAGATCATGCCGCTGCACTCCAGCCTGGCAACAGAGGGAGACTGTCTCTCAAAAAAAAGAAAATTTGCTGGGCGAAGTGGTTCATGCCTGTAATCTTAGCACTTTGGGGGCCAAAGTGGGTGGATCACCTGAGATCAGGAGTTCAAGACTAACCTTGCCAACATAGTAAAACCCTGTCTCTATAAAAACACAAAATTGGCTGGGCGGGGTGGTTCACACCTGTAATCCCAGCACTTTGTGAGGCTGAGGCAGGCGGATCACGAGGTCAAGAGATCGAGACCATCCTGGCCAACACGGTGAAACCCCGTCTCTACGAAAAACACACAAAAATTAGCCGGGCGTGGTGGCGCGTGCCTCTGGTCCCAGCTACTCGGGAGGCTGAGGTGGAAGAATCGCTTGAACCCAGGAGGCAGAGGTTGCAGTGAGCCGAGATTGTGCCAATGTGCTTCAGTCTGGGTGACAGAGCAAGACTCCGTCTCAAAACACAAACACACATACACACACACACACACACACACAACACACACACACACACAATTAGGCTGGGCGAGGTGGCTTATGCCTGTAATACCAGCACTTTGGGAGGCCGAGGCAGGCAGATTATGAGGTCAATAAACCAAGACCACCCTGGCCAACATGGTGAAACCCTCGTCTCTACTAAAATACAAAAATTAGCTGGGCATGGTGGCACGTGCCTGTAGTCCCAGCTACTTGGAGGCTGAAGCAGGAGAATTGCTTGAACCCAGGAGGCAGAGGCTGCAGTGAGCCAAGATCCCACCACTGCACTCCAGCCTAGTGCCTGGCGACAGAGCGAGGCTCTGTCTCAAAAAAAACCACACACACACACACACACACACACACACGAAATTAGCTGGGTGTGGTGGCCCATGCCTGTAGTCCCGGTTACTTGGGAGGCTGAGGCATGAGAATGGCTTGAACCTGGCAGGTGAAGGTTGCAGTGAGTCTTGGCCCTCCAAAGTGCTGGGACTACAGGCATAAGCCACCTCACCTGGCTTTTGAGATGGAATCTCCCTCTGTCACCAGGCTCAAGTGCCGTGGCAAGATCTCAGCACTGCAACCTCCACCTCCTGGGTTCAAGCCATTCTCGTGTCTCAGCCTCCCAAGTAGCTAGAACTACAGGCATAGGCCACCACACCCGGGTAATTTTTGTGTTTTTTATGGAGATGGGGTTTCACCATGTTGGCCAGGGTGGTCGGAAAGCTTTCTTCTTTCCTCCTGGCAGACAACTGGGCAAACTTCTGTAGCATTTTACTTTAAAAAAAAAATTACTGAGATTATTCCCATAGCATACTATTCACTCTTTTAAAAGTGTCTTTTAGCTGGGTGCAGTGGCTCACGCCTGTAATCCCAGTACTTTGGGAGGCCGAGATGGGTGTTGAAAACTACCCTGGCCAACATGGCGAAACCCCATCTCTACTGAAAATACAAAATGTTAGCTGGGAATGGTGGAGGGCGCCTGTAATTCCAACTACTCAGGAGGCTGAGGCAGGAGAATCACTTGGACTTGGGAGGCAGAGGTTGCAGTCAGCTGAGGTCACACCACTGCACTCCAGCCTGGGCAGCAAGAGTGAAACTCCATCTCAAAAAATACATAAATAGTCTTCTAGTATCTTCATAAAGTTGTGCAACTATCACTACTATATAATTCCAGATCCTTTTACAATTTAAAACAGGAATTTTGTAGAGATTTTTAAATATGTAACACATTCACAGGATTCAAAAACTTATAAAGGATTAAAAAAAAATTTAATAGTTTTAAAGTATTAAAAAACAGCCAGTTGGTCGGGTGCGGTGGCTCATGCCTGTAATTCCAGCAATTTGGGAGACTGGGGTAGGTGGGTAGATTGCTTGAACCCAACAGTTTGAGACCAGCCTGGGTAACATAGTGATAACCCATGTCTACAAAAAATTACCAAACTAGCCAAGTATGGTGGTTCATGCCTGCGGTCCCAGCTACTTGGAGGGCTGAGGTGGGAGGATCACTTGAGCCCGGGAGGTCGAGGCTTCAGTGAACCATGATTACACCACTGCACTCAAGTCTGGGTGACAGAGTAAGACCCTATGTCAGAAAAAAAAAAAAAAATCTCCCCGCAAAAAACAAAAAAAAAGATAACCAGTGTATGGTCTCCCTCCCACCCTCACCCCATGGGCCTGATTCACATTTCAGTATTTTTCTCCAAGACCATTTATTTATGCATATACAAACAAATTCAAATTTATATTTTTGACTCACACCATAATCCAAGTACTTTGGGAGGCCAAGAGGCTTGAGGCCAGGAGTTTGAGATCAACCTGGGCAGTATAGTGAGACCCCTGCCTCTCTATTAAAAAAAAAAAAATTAGGCCAGGCACTGTGGCTCAAGCCTGTAATCCCAGCACTTTGGGAGGCCGAGGTGGGTGGATCACGAGGTCGAGAGATCGAGACCATCCTGGTCAACATGGTGAAACCCCGTCTCTACTAAAAATACAAAAAATTAGCTGGGCATGGTGGCTCGTGCCTGTAATCCCAGCTGCTCAGGAGGCTGAGGCAGGAGAATTGCCTGAACCCAGGAGGCGGAGGTTGCAGTGAGCCGAGATCGCATCATTGCACTCCAGCCTGGGTAACAAGAGCGAAACTCCGTCTCAAAAAAAAAAAAAAAAAAAAAAATTAAAAAACAAAAGACAAGAAAGCTGTATGCTTTGTGCTTTTGGAGTTTTGCCAATCTGAGAAGTGAAGAACAAGTCTTTTTTTTTTTTTTCTTTTTGAGATAGAGTCTTACTCTGTCGTCCAGGCTGGAGTGCAGTGGCATGATCTTAGCTCATTGCAACCTCTGCCTCCCAGGTTCCAGTGGTTTTCCTGCCTCAGTCTCCGACTAGCTGGGATTACAGGCATGTGCCACCATGCCTGGCTAATTTTTGTATTTTCAGTAGAGACAGGGGTTTACCATATTGGCTAGGCTGGTCTTGAACTCCTGACCTCAGGTGATCCACCTGCCTCAACCCTCCCAAAGTGCTGGGATTACAGGCGTGAGCCACCTCGCCCAGTCATGGAAAGTAACAAGTCTTAATTTGAGTTATTATTATAAATGAAGTTGGACATTTTCCATGTGCTTAGGAACGCTTTGAATTTCCCTTTCTGTAAACTATCTGCTTATATCCGGTTGCCGTTTTTCCATTGAGTCGTTGGTCTTTATTGAACTATTTAATGAAAGCCCTTTATCTATTATGGAAAATAGACCTTTATTAGCGATCCAGGTTACACGAATTTTTCCAGTCCTTTTGTTTCTGTCTTTTGACTTTTTTTGTCATGCAGGAAAAAACATGTTATGGGGTCAAATATGTTAATCTTGTTCTGCGTCTTCTCCATCTTGAGCAATAGCTATAAATGCTAGCCCCACAGAAGCTACAAAAAAGTTTGCTGATTCTTTGCTCTAGAAATGTTGTTTGTTTGTTTGTTTGAGACAGTCTCACTCTGTGACCCAGGCTCCAGTGGCTCGATCTCAGCTTGCTGCAACCTCTGCCTCCTGGGTTCAAGCAATTCTCCTGCCTTAGCTTCCTGAGTAGGTGGGATTACAGGCACGCACCACCACCCCTGGCTAATTTTTTTGTATTTTTAGTAGAGACGGGGTTTCACTATGTTGACCAGGATGGTCTCGATCTCTTGACCTCGTGATCCACCCGCCTCAGCCTCCCAAAGTGCTGGGATTATAGGTGTGAGCCACCGCGCCCGGCCTATTCCAACATTATTAAATGACAAATCTGTCTTTGCCCAGGGACTGAGATGCCACAATTTATCATATACTAAATTCCTGTATATATTTGGATCCATATCTGACTTTCTCCTCTGTTCTGTCTGTCCATCTGTATCTGCACATAGCAGTAATACAAAGTTGTAATCATTGAGAGGTTAAAATGAGCTTTGGGCCCAGCGCAGTGGCTCACACCTATAATCTCAGCACCTGGGGAGGCTGAGGCGGATCTCAAGACCAGCCTGGCCAACATGGTGAAACCCCATCTCTACTAAAACTACAAAAATTATCTGGCATGGTGATGTGCACCTGTAATCCCAGGTATTCAGGAGGCTGAGGCAGGAGAATCACATGAACCCAGGAGGTGGAGGTTGCAGTGAACCGAGATCATGCCATCGCACTCCAGCCTGAGCAACAAGAGCAAAACTCTCTCTAAATAAAATAAAATAAGTGTTGACTTATGGTCGGGACATTCACTACTCATGGCTCTTGTTTTTAAGGGATTTCCTGGCTTTTTTGGTTTGCTTATATCTTCAGCTCAACTTTGAAATCATCTTGTCCTGTTAAAAGCACACACTCATAGAAAATACTTTTGTGGCTGGGTGCGGTGGCTCATGCCTGTAATCCTAGCACTTTGGGAGGCCTAGGTGGGAGGATCCCTGAGGTCGGGAGTTTGAGACTGGCCTGGCCAACATGGTGAAATACTGTCGCTATTAAAAATATAAAAATTAGCCAGGCATGGTAGCATGTGCCTATAATCCCAGCTACCTAGGAGGCTGAGGCAGGAGAATCACTGGAACCCGGGAGGAGGCGGCTGCAGTGAGCCAAGATCACTCCTGGGCATCAGAGAGAGGCTCCATCCTCCCCACCAAAAAAAATACTTTTGGTATATTTTATTGAGATCACATTAAATGTGTACATTGACTAAGGGAGAAATAGTATCACTGTGTTGCTGAACCTTCCTATCTGGGAACATGGTATGCATTTCCATTTGTTCACACTACTTTTGCTTAAGGGCCTTTCTTTAACTCCCCCAACAGAATTAATACCTCCCTGCTCTGTGCCTCCATCACACCTTGTATACTCTTACCTGTGAACCCACCTACTGATCATGCACATCAAGGTCATGCTGCAGCTGTTGTGTGACCTCTGTCCCCCATGCTTACTTGGGAGAGTCATTCTTGTTCCTTTCTTTATTTTTTAATTTATTATTATTTTTTATTTTTTTTAAAGATGGGGTTTCACCATGATGGCCATGCTGGTCTTGAACTCCTGATCTCAGGTGATCCACCCACCTCAGCCTCCCAAAGTGCTAGGATTACAGGCGTGAGCTACCGTGCCCCACCATTCTTGTTCCTTTCTTTACCCAAAGCCTGGCCACAATCCACACTCAGTAAATGTTTGCTAAATGAATAACAAAAGAAAAAAAAATCTCCCCAAGCCTTGCTGGTCATCCATCCATAGCCTGGTTTCTACAGCCCCTGCCTACAAGATCCAGCCCTATAGGGTTCTGTGAGCCCCTCCCTGTTGGTGCGGAGACAAGAACTAGAAATAAAAGACATAGACACAGAGATAGAGAATAGAGAATTTGGGCCCGGGGGGTCCACTGCCAACCAAAGCACAGAGACCTGCAGCGGCACTGAGTGCCTGGACACTCTGAGTTTTATTGAGTACAAAGCAGTGGGCAGGGAAGGTAGGGTGAGGTAATGGTGGTCAGCGTTAGGATCAGGTAAATCACGTGTCTTGAAGATAGGGGGCCCAATACTTTAAAGTAGCCGAGGCGAGGAGAAAACCTAATGCATCAGCGCTCTTCGCATATTTGTCAGAAATGTCAAGGACACCAAGATTATGTTACTATTACTAATTCTTATTTTTTAAGAAAAAGAGAAACCAGGTACAGATGCAGGCCATGAGAGTAGACATGGACGTGACCACTGAAGCGCAGCATCACGTAGGGACAGTCAAACCCCCGACGTCTGCAGGGTTTCCTGACAGCTGTCAGGCCTACCGCAAGAGCTTGGAGAAGCGGAGTTTTCTCCTAACTTCCCCAGGAAGGAGATGTCTCGGTCATTTTGGACGTCTCTTTCCCTAGCTGGCTGAACGGTGGGCGCTTTCCCGGTGCTGGTGCTGCCGCACAGCCGAGGCGCCCTCCAGCAGCCCTTATGTGGGCGGGACAGAGGGCTTAGAGCATCTTGCCTTAGGATCACTTTGTTCACAATGTCACCTCAGTTCCATGCTTCATAACTCGATAATCATTAGGAAAATAAAGGTTATATTGAGTATACATTTTTATGATTATAAGTAACTGTAAGATTATATATGATTATATAAAGGAATAACTATGTGCCTACATTTCTAATTCTTTTCTAAATCGGTATTTATATGGGAACAGACTGAAGCTTCAGACCCTTGCCCCGGCACTTGCGGGGTTTCCCCCCTACACCTGCCCACCGTGGCCCCCTCTGACCCTCTCCACTGACCCACTGTCTCCTTCACCCACAGCTCTGGAATGCCCTGCCTACAGCAGCTACACCAGCTGCCTTCCCTCCTGCTCACCTTCCTGCTGGGACCTGGATGGCCAGTGTGAGGGCGCCAGAGTCCCCTCTGCCTGTGCGGAGGGGTGCATTTGTCAGCCTGGCTATGTCCTGAATGAGGACAAGTGTGTCCCCAGAAGTCAGTGCAGCTGCAAGGATGCCCATGGTGGCTCGATCCCTGTGAGTAGGGATGGGAAATGGGAGGACTAGAGGCAACGCACCTGGAAGGTGGTGCTCTGTCCTTTTCCCCGCCTCTCTCACCCTGGGACACCCATGACTTGACAGCTGGCCTTGGGGTGCGAAGGCTGCTGTGGGTGGCACATTGATCTCCTGCCGGGTCTGGGCTGATGGCGCATGGCTTGGGTGGATCTGAGGAATCCAAACAAGCAGCACATGGCATGGTATAGTGGAAGGACTATGGCCTCATTTTAGGCTGACCTAAGATCGAATCCTGATGGTGCCACTGATGAGTCAGATGACCTCTATTATCTCAGTGTCCTCACCTGTAAAATGGGTTTGTAGTGTCTCTTTCACAACATATGTAAGACACCAAGCATAGTGGGTTTTTGTTTTTGTTTGTTTGAGGCAGAGTCTCCCTCTGTGACCCAGGCTGGAGTGCAGTGGCATGATCTCTGCTCACTGCAACCTCTCTCTCCCAGGTTCAAGCGATTCTTCTGCCTCAGTCTCCTGTGTAGCTGAGATGACAGGCAAGCACCACCAAGCCTGGCTAATTTTTGTATTTTTAGTAGAGACAGGGTTTCCCCATGTTGGCCAGGCTGGTCTTGAACTCCTGACCTCAAGTGATCTGCCCGATTTGGCCTCCCAAAGTCCTGGGATTATAGGCGTGAGCCACCACACTTGCCCCGCACAGTGTCTTTTGGGTGTCCACTTGGCATTGTGCCTGCCTCTGGCCAGCATCAGTTAAGCCATTCATATGGTGGACTAGGCTGCTGGGGTAAGAGGAAGGAGAACCAGCCCTTCTCTCCTCACTTGCTCTTTTTGTTGAGACAGAGTCTTGCTCTGTCACCCAGTCTGGAGTGCAGTGGCGTCATCTTGGCTCACTGCAACCTCCACCTCCTGGGTTCAAGCAGTGCTCCTGCCTCAGCCTCCTGAGTAGCTGGAATTATAGGCATGTGCCACCACGCCCAGCTAATTTTTGTATTTTTAGTAGAGACAGGGTTCACCATGTTGTCCAAGCTGGTTTCGAACTTCTGACCTCAGGTGATCCATCCATCTTGGCTTCCCAAAGTGCTGGGATTACAGGCGTGAGCCACCACACCTGGCCCCTTTCTTACGCTCTTTCTCTTCTGGTGACTTCTACAGCCGAACAAGAGCTGGGTCTCCAGTGGTTGCACAGAGAAGTGTGTTTGCACAGGAGGAGCCATGCAGTGCAGGGACTTCCGATGCCCCTCTGGATCCCACTGCCAGCTCAGTTCTGACAACATCAACAGCAACTGTGTCTCAGACAGTAAGGGGAGCGACCAGGGCGGGTGGAGAGGGGAGCACCTGGGGCTAGGGCAGAGCTGGGGGAAGAGGCAGGGCGGGAAGGGGCTTAGCCGGAACCCGCGCACACGCAGGGGTTGGGGCAGGCGACTGAATCAGGAGGTCTGGTCTCCAATCTGGCTTTTGCCAACTCTGTGGCCATGTGCCAGGTCCTGATCCCCTCTAGGACCCTGCACCTGTAGGGCAAAAAGAGGGGACTGGTCATGGAGATCCTCCAAGGTTTTTGTTTACTTGTTTGGTTGGGTTTTTTTGGTTTTTTGTTTGTTTGTTTGTTTGAGCGAAGTCTCACTCTGTCGCCAGGCTGGAGTGCAGTGGCATGATCTTGACTCACTGCAAATTTCGACCCTCTGGTTCAAGCAATTCCCCTGCCTCAGACTCCCAAGTAGCTGGGATTACAGGCACTCACCCCCATGCCCAGCTAATTTTTTATTTTTAGTAGACATGGGGTTTCACCATGTTGGCCAGGATGGTCTCGATCTCTTGACCACTGAGCTGGGGGAAGAGGCAGGGCGGGAAGGGGTTTAGCCGGAACCCGCGCACAGGCAGGGGTTGGGGCGGGCAACTGAATCAGGAGCTCTGGTCTCCAATCTGGCTTTTGTCAACTCTGTGGCCATGTGCCAGGTCCTGATCCCCTCTGGGACCCTGCCGGCCTTGACCTCCCAAAGTGCTGGGATTCCAGGCGTGAGCCACTGTGCCTGGCTGCTTGTTTGTTTTTTGAGACTGGGTAGGTCTTGCTCTGCTGTCCATGCTGGAGTGCACTGGCACCATCATATAGCTCGCTGTAACCTCAAATCCCTTGAATCAAGTGACCCTCACATCTCAGCCTCCCAAGTAGCTGGAACTGCAGGCATGCACCACCACACCCAGCCAATTTTTCTATTTTTTTTTTTTTAGAGATGGGGTCTTGCTATGTTGCCCAGGATGGACTTGAACCCATCTCAAGTGTTCCTCCTGCCTCAGCCTCCCAAAGTGTTGGGATTACAGGCATGAGCCACTGTGCCCGGCCTCTCTAAGGTTTTTAATCAGGCCAGGAGAGGGAGCAAGTTGAAGATCAAGGATCCGGGGAGGCTGGGCATGGTGGTTCATGCCTGTAATCCCAGTACTTGGAAGGGCGAGGTGGAAGGGTCACCTCAGTGCAGGAGTTCAGCGCCAGCCTGGCCAACATAGAAAGACCCTGTCTCTACAAAACATTTTAAAATATTAAAAAATTAGCCAGGTGTAGTGGCTGGTGACTATAGTCCCAGCTACTCAGGAGACTGAAGCAGGAGAATTGCCTGAGCTCAGGAGTTTGAGGCTGCAGTGAGCTATGATTGTACCACTGCACTCCGGCCTGGGAGACAGAGTAAGACCCTGTCCGGGAAAAAAAAAAAAAAAATCGGCTTTTAATTGAGTGTCACTAGGTATTGGGGGGGGGGAAGAAAAAAAAGCTCAGGCACCAGGCACGGTAGTTTATGCCTGTAATCCCAGCACTTTGGAGGCCAAGCTGGGAGGATTTCTTGAGGCCAGGAGTTCAAGACCAGCCTGGGCAACATAGTGTGACTCCCATCTCTAAAAAAAAGGAAAATTAGCTAGGGGTGGTGGTGTTCTCCTGAAGTTCCAGTTATTCAGGAGGCTGAGGCAGGAGGATTGCTTGAGCCCAGGAGTTAGAGGCTGCAGTGAGCTGTGATTATGCCACTGCACTTCAGTCTGAGTGACAGAAAGAGACCCTGTCTCAAAAAAAGAAAAAAGCAAATAAAAAAGAGAAAAGAAAGGATCCAGGGAGCCTAAGAGGATGGCCACAGGGGACGTCACCATGGGGGAGTGACTTTGGGGACCATTACACCTGGGCAGGGTTCCTTCTCACTGTTTTGTTTGTTTTTTTTGGGTTTTTTTTGAGATGAAGGCTCCCTCTATCACCCAGGCTGAAGGGCAGTAGCGTGATCTTGGCACTCACTGCAACCTCTGCCTCCTAGGTTCAAGCAATTCTCCTGTCTCAGCCTCCCAAGTAGCTGGAATTACAGGCACACACCACCATACCTGGTTAGTTTTTGTATTTTTAGTAGAGATGAGATTTCTCCACGTTGGCCAGGCTGTTCTCGAACTCCTGACCTCAGGTGATCCACCCATCTCTGCCTCCCAAAGTCCCGGGCTTACAGGCCTGAGCCACCACACCCAGCCCCTTCTCACTGTTTGACTTCTTTCTTGGCAGAGTCTGAACAATGCTCAATCTACGGGGACCCCCGTTACTTCACGTTTGACGGCTTCAACTACCACTTCCGGGGCCGCATGACCTATGTCCTGATCAAGACTGTGGACATGCTGCCTGACGGGGTGGAGGCCCTGCTTGTGGAGGGACGCAACAAGATGTCTCCACCCGGGAGCTCCATCTTCTTGCACGAGGTGATTACCACCGTCTATGGCTATAAAGTGCAGTTCCAAGCTGGTCTGGAGCTTGTGGTAAGTGCTGGGCCTGGGCCTGGTGGGTGTGGGGAGGCAGCTGGACCAGGTAGGCCGCCTGGAGGAGGAGAAGTCAGGGGTCCCTGTTCCCTGGGACATTGGTGGCAGGGGCAGGTGGGTTGTAAAATGGGAGTCAGCAGGACGCAGTGGTCACGCCTGTAATCTCAGCCGCTCAGGAGGCTAACACAGGAGGATCACTTGAGCCCAGAAGTTGAAGACCAGCCTGGGCAACATGGCAAGATCCTACATCTCTGCAAAAAATTTAAAATGAGCTGGGTATGGGGGTACACCCCTGTAGTCCCAGCTATTGGACAGTCTGAGGCTGGAGGATTGCTTAAGCCCAGGAGTTTGAGGCTGCAGTGAGCCAAGATCTTGCTACTGCACTTTAGCCTGGGTGACAGAGAGAAACGGTCTCAAAACCAAAAACAAATCCAACAGCAAGCTCGCTGCATGTGGGGAGGCAGTCGAGGCTGGCAAGAGACAAGAGGAAGAGAGGAGGTGGAGGAGGGCAGAGCGTGAGGTGTGAAGGTCAATCCCAGGCTGAAGGATCAATGGCATTCCCCACACCAATGTGGTTTTATTTTGTTTTGTTTGGTTTTGTTTTGTTGAGACAGAGTCTTACTCTGTGACCCAGGCTGGAGTGCAGTGGCAGGCACCATCTCAGCTCACTGCAACCTCCACCCCCTAGATTCAAATGATTCTCCTGCCTCAGCCTCTCGAGTAGCTGGGATTACAGGCGCGCGCCATCACACCTGGTTAATTTTTGTATTTTTAGTAGAGACCAGGTTTCCCCATGTTGGTCAGGCCGATCTCGAACTCCTGGCCTCAAGTGATCCACTCGTCTCGGCCTCCCAAAGTGTTGGGATTACAGGCGTGAGCCACTGTGCGCAGCCTCACTGCACCAATTTTTTGCAAGGAAGGACTTGGGCTGGGAAGAGGGCGGACCTCACAGAGGCTTCTGCCACGTGGAATAGCAAAGCCCCCACTTGGGTATCTCATTCCCCTGTCGTCACGGAGATGGAGACGTATGGACGTGCCTGGGAAAAGCAAAGCCCAGGCAGGAAAGGTGCCAGGTCAGGCAGATTCAGCCCTCCCTGCAGCTGCTGTCTTCCCTCTTTAGGTCAACAACCAGAAGATGGCCGTCCCCTACAGGCCGGATGAGCACCTGCATGTCACCCTGCGGGGCCAACGACTCTACCTGGTCACCGACTTTGAGCTGGTCGTCAGCTTCGGTGGAAGGAAAAATGCAGGTAGCGGAAACAGGGAAAAGAAGAGCAGGAAGGGCCATTTCTGAGAAGGGGTAGGGAAAATCCTGTCTAAGACAGACAAATCCTGGGGAGAGGACCTTCCGCCCGGATGTGGTCCTGGCTCCAGAGGAGGACCAGGAGGAGGCGGAGTGAGGCCGGTTGGAGAGCAGAGGGCAGAGCCTCGGTTGGGTGCTGTGGCACCAGCCTGTAATCCCAGCGCTCTGGGAAACTGAGACACGAGGATCGCTTAAGGCCAGAAGCTCGAGACCAGCCTGGAGAACATAGTGAGACCCCCGTCTCAACAAAAAAAATTTTTTAAGGCCGGGTGTATGGCTCACACCTGCAATCCCAGCATTTTGGGAGGCCTAGGCAGGCAGATCACCTAAGGTCAGGAGTTCGAGACCAGCCTAACCAACATGGGGAAACCCCATCTCTACTAAAAATACAAAAATTAGCTGGCTGTGGTGGCGAGCGCCTCTAATCCCAGCTACTTGGGAGACTGAGGCAGAAGACTCAATTGAACCCAGGAGGTGGAAGTTGCAGTGAGCTGAGATGGTACTATTGCACTCCAGCCTGGCAACAGGAGCAACTCTGTCTCAAAAAAAAAAAAAAAAAAAAAAAAATTAAAATTAGCCAGGTGTGATGGTGTGTGCCTGTAATCCCAGCATCTGGAACTGGAGAGGCAGAGACGGGCGGATCGCGTGAGCCAGGCATTCGGGACCAGTCTGGCAACATAGGAAGACCCTGTCTCTACAAAAAATAAAACTAAAAAATTAGCTGGGTGTGGTGGTGCATACCTGTAGTCCCAGCTTCTGGAGAGGCCAAGGAGAAAGGATTACTTGAGCCCAAGATTTGGAGGCTGCAGTGAGCCATGATCGTGTCACTGTACTCCAGCCTGGGCACCAGAGCAAGACCCCGCTTTAAAAAAAAAAAAAAAAAAAAGTGAGGGCCGGGCTTGGTGGCTCATGTCTGTAATCCCTGAACTTTGGGAGCCCAAGGTAGGCGGATCACTTCAGGTCAGGAGTTCTAGACCAGTCTGGGCAACAGGGTGAAACACCTATCTCTACTAAAAATACAAAATTAGCCGGGCATGGTGGCATGTGCCTGTAGTCCCAGTGACTCAGAGGCTGAGGCACGAGAATCACTTGAATCTGGGAGGTGGAGGTTGCAGTGAGCTAAGATTGTGCCACTGCACTCCAGCCTGGGCCACAGAGTGCGACTGTGTCTCAAAAAAAAAAAAAAAAAAAAAAGAGTGAGGAGTCTCACTTCTGGGGGCCCCTTCCTCCCACAGTGATCTCCCTACCCAGCATCTACAGGGGACTCGTGCGTGGCCTATGTGGAAACTACGATGGAAACCGCAGGAATGAGATGCTGCTGCCCAGCGGCGCCCTGACCCAGAACCTCAACACCTTCGGCAACAGCTGGGAGGTGAAGACGGAGGACGCCCTCCTCCGGTTCCCCAGGTGCGTGGCCTGGAAGGGACGAGGCCGGGGATGAACAACCCTGCGCCCAGTGGCTGCTGGCCCTCCTGTCCTCTGCAGAGGATGAAACTCCAGGGAGAGGGTACAGAGAGACCTGGGTCCTCCCGATTCTGTCATTCCCTCTCACCCGACTGTGGGGGCACCGCTCAGTGGAAATCCCAGTCTGTGCCCCGACCCTACCCTCAGCCTGCCTTCCCAGTTCTTCTTTTTCTAAAAATCTTTTTTCGAGCCAGGGTCTTGCTCTGTCACCTAGGCTGGAGTGCAGTGGTGTGATCCCAGCTCACGGCAACCTCTGCCTCCCAGTTTCAAGTGATTCTGCTGCCTCAGCCTCCCGAGTATCTGGGACTACAGGTGCCCACCACCATGCCCGGCTAATTTTTAGATTTTTAGTAGAGATGGGGTTTCACCATGTTGGGCAGACTGGTCTCCAACTCCTGACCTCAAGGGATCCACCCACCTCAGCTTTGGCCTCCCAAAGTGCTGAGATGCCAGGTTTGAGCCCCAGTTGTTCTTCTTTCTTTTTTAGAAAAAATCTTTTTTAGAGACAAGGTCTTCCTCTCTTGCCCAAGCTGGAGTGCAGTGGCGTGACCTCGGCTCGCTGCAGCCTCTGTCTCCCGGGCCAAAGTCATCCTGCTGCCTCAGCCTCCCGAGTAGCTGGGATTACAGGCAGACACCACCACGCCCAGCTAAGCGGTTCCTCTTCCCTCACGTCACCGTCATTGTGGCCTCACCTGACCCCGTGGCTGTCTCTGCTGCAGGGCTGTACCATCGGAGGAGGAGGGTCGAGGGGCGGAACTGGGCCTCCATGTGTCTGAATGTAGCCCGGAGCAGCTGGCGAGCAACGGCACCCAGGCCTGTAGGGTGCTGGCGGACCCCCAAGGCCCCTTTGCTGCCTGTCACCAGACGGTGGCCCCAGAGCCCTTCCAGGAGTGAGTCATGGGCCCAGGACTTGCGGGAAGGGTCCAGGTGCCTGCTCTGATCTTTCCCTCGGGCCTCCTGCCAGCTTCCTGACCCAAGCTCTGTCTGGTCCACTCCTCCGCTCTCCCTGTGGCCTCGTTTCCTTGTGACTCTCCCTGGACACTGACTGATGTCTTTCTGTTTGGGGTTCCAGGCTCTCTTTTGCAGGGGTGGGTCTCCTAGCCTCCCCAAACCTGACTGTGCCCTTTCTGTCCCCTCTCCACCCCAGGCACTGCGTGCTGGATCTGTGCTCTGCCCAGGACCCCAGAGAGCAAGAGGAGCTGCGTTGCCAGGTCCTCAGCGGGTACGCCATCCTCTGCCAGGAGGCGGGCGCTGCCCTGGCCAGCTGGCGGGACCACACCCTCTGCGGTGAGGCACTGCCCCTCCCCTCTGCCATCCACCTCTGCTGAACTCTCTTCCCACCATTGCCTCATCTCCAGCTCTTAGTACCATGTCCAAGTCAGTACAACCTGCAGCCTGACTCCTTCTCTGACCCCACCTGGGAGCCTCCCGACCCCATCCCCCATCCCGCTGTTTCCTGCCAGGGTCCACCTTTGCTTAGCCAGTTCCTTCAAATGCTCTAATGTTGCAGACAAAAAGGCCCTGGATAGGCTGGGCATGGTGGCTCATACCTGTAATCCCAGTGCTTTGGGAGGCCGAGGCTTGAGGATGGCCTGAGCCCAGGAGTTCGAGGCTACAGTTCGAGGCCATGACTGCACCACTGCACTCCTGGGCAGCAGAGCAACTGATCCTGTCTCAAAAAAAAAAAAAAAAAAAAAAAAAAAAAAAGGCCAGGCACGGTGGCTCACACCTGTAATCCCAGCACTTAGGGAGGCTGAGATGGGCAAACCACGAGGTCAGGAGTTTGAGACCAGCCTTGCCAACATAGTGAAACCCACTCTCTACTAAAAATACAAAAAATTAGCTGGACATAGTGGCGAATGCCTGTAGTCCCAGCTACTCGAGGGACTGAGGCAGGAGAATTGCTTCAACCCAGGAGGTGGAGGTTGCAATGAGCCAAGATTGCACCACTGCAGTCCAGTCTGGGTGACAGAGTGAGACTCCGTTAAAAAAAAAAAAAAAAAGAGAGAGAGGCCGGGCGCGGTGGCTCAAGCCTGTAATCCCAGCACTTTGGGAGGCCGAGGCGGGTGGATCACGAGGTCAAGAGATCGAGACCATCCTGGTCAACATGGTGAAACCCCGTCTCTACTAAAAATACAAAAAATTAGCTGGGCATGGTGGCACGTGCCTGTAATCCCAGCTACTCAGGAGGCTGAGGCAGGAGAATTGCCTGAACCCAGGAGGCGGAGGTTGCAGTGAGCCGAGATCGCGCCATTGCACTCCAGCCTGGGTAACAAGAGCGAAACTCCATCTCAAAAAAAAAAAAAGAGAGAGAGAAAGGAAAGAAAGAGAAAGAAAGAACAAGAAAAGGAAAGAAAGAGAAAGAAAAGAAGAAAAGACGAGACAGGCTGGGTGTGGTAGCTCACACCTGTAGTCCCACCACTTAGGGAAAGTGAGGCAGGAGCATGAGTTGAAGCCAAGGGTTTGAGACCAGGCTGGGCAACATAGTGAGACCCCATCTCTATAAAAATTTCAAACAAATTAGCTGGGTGTGGTGGTGCATGCCTGTAGCTCTAGTCACTGGGGAGGCTGAGGTAGGAGGATCACTGGAACTCAGGAGCTGGAGGCTGCAGTAAGCTGTGATCACACCACTGCACTCCAGCCTGGGCAACAGAGTGAGACTCCATCTCTAAACAAAAAAAAAAAAAAAAAGGAAAAAAAAGACCCTAGATGAAGCCGTGACGTGTTCTGGCTTCCCGCCTGTAAGCAGCTCTGAGTTTTATTGGGTGATCTTGCCCCTGTTTGGCCTGCCCAGCCCCAGCTAGCTTCTGACCGTGACTCTCCCCCCAGCCATGGAGTGCCCAGCAGGTACCATGTATCAGAGCTGTATGACACCCTGCCCAGCATCCTGTGCCCACCTAATGGACTCTGGGGACTGCGAGGGCCCCTGCGTGGAAGGCTGCGCCAGCATCCCAGGCTACGCCTACAGCGGCACCCAGAGCCTCCCGCTGGCTGACTGTGGCTGCACCAGCAATGGCATCTACTACCAGGTCCGGGCTGGCAGCGGGAGGCCCCGGGGAGCAGAGGTGCCAAGGGGAGCCAGACCAGGGATGGATCCGGAGCATCTCCTCCTGGCCCTTCCCTTTTCTAGCTGGGCGACATCTTCGTGACTGAGGACTGCTCTCAGCGCTGCACCTGCACCAGCTCTCGGATCCTGCTTTGCGAACCCTTCAGCTGCAGAGAGGGGGAGATCTGCACTCTGGGGAACCACACCCGAGGCTGCTTCCCAGGTGAACCTGCACCCATGCTCGCTTCCAAGCTGCCCCACGCCCTGGGGTGTCCATGCACCAAGGATTGTCCCCTCTCTGTCCTTGGGACTCTTCCACATTGATTTCAGGATGTCTGTCCCTGCCTTTGTGGAGAGGGACAAAGGACAAAGATCTCCCGTTTCCTGAGTATCCATGAGCTACTGGATCTTTTCCTAGCCTTCCTTCCTGTTCCTTCTTCACTCCTCACTTCAGTCCTGGTGGTTAGCACAGCACTCCTATTTTATATGTAACAAACATGGAGTGCAGCGAGGTTCAGCCGTGTCCTGCCGGGTGTAGGGGACTCATACCTGTAATCCTGGCATTTTGGGAGGTGAGGTGGGAGAATTGCTTTGAGCTCAGGAGTTCAAGATCAGCCCGGGCAACAGAGGGAAACATTGTCTCTACTAAAAATTAAAGAAAAAAAAAGCTGGGTGTGATGGTGCATACCTGTAGTCTCAACTACTTGGGAGGCTGAGGTGGGAAAATCGCCTGAGCCCAAGAGATTGAGGCTACAGTGAGCCATAATTGTGCCACTGCACTCCAGCCTGACGACAGAGTGAGATCCTGTCTCAAAAAAAAAAAAGGAGAAGATGCCGGGCAAGGTGGCTTACACCTGTAATCCCAGTACTTTGGGAAGCTGAGGCAGGTGGATCACAAGGTCAGGAGTTCGAGACCAGCCTGACCAACATGGTGAACCCTGTCTCTACTAAAAATACAAAATTAGCCCGGCATGGTGGCACATGCCTGTAATTCCAGCTACTCAGCTACTTGAGAGGCTGAGACAGGAGAATTGTTTGAACCTGGGAGGTGGAGGTTGTGGTGAGCCAAGATCCCGCCATGGCACTCCAGCCTGGGCAACAAGAGTGAAACTGAAACTCCCTCACAAAAAAAAAAAAAGAAAGAGAATGAAGAGAAGGGAGAGGGGAGGAGAGGGAAGGAAGGAAGGGAAGGGAGAGGAAAGGAGAGGAGGGGAGAAGGCCAGAGGAAGGGAGGGAGGGAGGGAGGGAGGGAGGGAGGAGTTTTGAAGGAAAGAAGTTTCCCCAAAACCCAGGGGTAGTGAGGCAGGGTTGGGAGCCAGGCTGGCTGGCTCCTGGCCAGTCTCTGGCAGCTGCTGCTTTCTCCCCTGGCGTCCGAGCCCCCAGTCAGTCCTCCCCTGAGCTGGGAGTGTCCTGTCGGGGCCCCTCCCACAACCCTCTCTGTCCTGCAGAAAGCCCTTGTCTGCAGAACCCCTGTCGGAATGACGGGAAATGTCGGGAGCAGGGAGCCACCTTCACCTGCAAGTGTGAAGTTGGTTACGGAGGAGACCTCTGTACAGAGCCTCGAGATGTGCCACCTCCCAGAAAACCAGGTGAGGGCATCATCCAACGCCCTGTACCCTCACAGCCTGTCAACCTGTCAGCCAGGCCGTCAGCCACCACAGAACGATTCTATGTGTATTATATTCACATATAGAATGATATCTATTATATGTTATAGATACTATATATTATTAAGTAGCTATATTAATATGTTATATATTATGTATCATAATTATATATTATATATTTTATAGATATAAATATGGATATATGTTATAAATATATCAATTTATAGATATAAGGGACAATATATTATTAATATATTGTTATATATTAATATATGTTTATATATTATATTATTATAGTAGAAATCATGTTATAATATAATCCCTAGAAATTAGCAGAACAAACATCCTCAAAAAACCAGTCCGGGCCAGGTGCAGTGGCCCTCGCCTGTAATCTCAGCATTCTGGGAGGCCAAGGTGGGCGGATCACCTGAGGTCAGGAGTTCAACAGAGCCTGATCAATATGGTAAAACCCCGTCTCTACTAAAAATACAAAATTTAGCTGGCTGTGGTGGTGCACACCTGTAATCCCAGCTACTCTGCAGGCTGAGACAGAAGAATCGCTTGAACCTGAGAGATGGAGATTGCAGTGAGCCGAGATTGTGCCACTGCGCTCCAGCCTAGGCGACCTAGTGAGACTCCATCTCCCCTCACCAAAAAAAAATCACAAAAATTAACTGGGTTCACACCCAGTCCCTATAGTCCCAACAACCTGGAAGGGAGGCTGAGGCGGGAGGATCGCTTGAGCCCAGGAGTTCAAGGCTGCAGAGGGTTATGATCACACCACTGCACTCCAGCCTGGGCAGCAGAGCCAGACCCTGTCTAAAAAGGCTTATGGGAAACAAAACATTGCAAGAGGTGGGGGTGGCACTAAGGCCTTGGAGTCCTTGGAGGTGAGAGCCTCCTGGAGGGAGAAGCGGACACACCTCTCTATTTAGAGAGAAGAGGTCCCTTTGGGTAGCAAGTGATGTCCAAAAGGGAGTGTCCTGAGTCCCTGCCCTTCCTGTCTCACATCCCCGAGTCTCTTCCCTGCACCCAGAAGCATCTAACCTGGTGGCCATCCTGTTGACGCTGCTGGTGCCTGTGGTGGTTGTAGTACCAGCCGTGACCAGAGAGTGCATTTCCAGAAGGAGGAGGAAGAGGTGAGATCTGGGAAGGGAAGAGGAAGGGCAGGTAGGACGTGCAAACGGGGGAGCAGCTGGGCCCTAAAGGGCTACTCGGGGACCCGTGTCTCTTCCCCAACTCCTTCTAGAGAGAAAACGCAGAGCCAGGAGGGAGACGGACTGGCCAGGCCGGTGGACGCAGGTGAGAACCAACCCCACAGCCTGGAACGCTGGGGCCTGGCGTCTCCTCTCCTCTCATACATGGTTGTCTTGCTTTCTCCTCAGATATTGCTCCAGACTGTATCTTTTAAATTGCTCAGTTTTGAATTGTCTTCAAACAAGAAGATTAAATAAATGTATGTATTTGTTTATTTGAGACAGGGTCTTGCTCTGTTGCTCAGGCTGGAGTGAAATGGTGCGATCAAAGGTCACTGCAGCCTCGACCTTCTGAACCTCCTGCCCCAGCATCCCGGCTAGCTGGGACTACAGATATACGTCACCATGAGAGCTAAACTTGATTTTTTTGTTTTTGTAGAGATGAATGGGGGTCTCACTGTGTTGCCCAGGCTGATCTCAAACTCTTGGCCTCCAGCAATCATCCCGCCTTGGCCTCCCAGAGTGCTGGGGTTTACAGGCATGAGCCACAGCATCTGGCCAAAATTATTTATTTTTGTTTTGATTTTTTGTTGAGATGGAGTTTGCTCTGCCACCCAGACTGGAATACAGTGGTGTGATCTCTGCTCACTGCAATCTCCGCCACCTGGGTTCAAGCAATTCTCCTGCCTCAGCCTCCCGAGTAGATGGGATTAGCCTCACCTAGCTAATTTTTGTATTTTTAGTAGAGACAGTGTTTTGCCATGTTGGCCAAACTGGCCTCAAACTCCTGACCTCAAGTGATCCGCCTGCCTTGGCCTCCCAAAGTGCTGGGATTATAGGCATGAGGCACCGTGCCCAGCCCAGAATTATTTATTTTTGAGATGTGAATGTCTACATGATCATGGTGGAGGAGGTTGGGTCTTGGAGGGAGGAAAACGAGGGAGAAAGTCACGTGGAGGGCTAGATGGGCTGGGTTCTGTGCAAAATGAGGGGAGAGGAGCCTAGGTTTGAGGTGAGGGTGTTGTCCTTAAGAGAAAGCCACATGGGGGTGGCCTGTTCAGTCCTGCTGACATCACTAGAGGAGACAGGAGGAGCAGGGAAGCAGAGGAATGGAGGGTGGGAAGCAGCCCCAGACCCTTGGCTTCTGATTTAGGAGAAGACTTCACCCCAGGAATCCGAGTTCTTAGAGAACGTGCCCTCTGGCTTTCCACCAAGGTGATCCTGAGAACTCGTACGTGTCAAGCGGAGGCTGAGGCTGGGGAATGTGGCTTTCTCCTTCTTTGCTTTTCCTTTCGTTTCTCTTTCTTTCTTCCATTCTTTCCTCCCTTCCTTCCTTAGTGTCTCCTCCTTTCTTTTTTCTTTCTCTCTTTTCTTTTCCTTCTTTTCTTTCCTTCTTCTTTTCAGGGTCTTGCTCCGTTGCCCAGGCTGGAGTGCAGTGGTACACTCATCGCCTGCGGCAGCCTTGACCCCCGGGCCTCCAGTGATCCTCGCACCTCAGCCTCCTGACTAGCTGGGACTACAGGCATGCACCACTACACCTGGCTAATTTTCAGATCTTTTTGGAAGAGAGGGGGTCTCTAGTACTATGTTGCCCAGGCTGGTCTTAAACTCCTGGGCTCAAAGAAATCATCCTGCTTCCACCTCCCAAAGCACTGGGAATGCACGGGAGCCACCCCGCCCAGCCCGATGCGGCCCTTCCTTCCTTCCTTTTCCCCTCTCTGCCTTCCTCCCTCCTTACCTCCCTCCCTTCCTTCCTTCCTTCCTTTTTTAGAGACAGGTGCTTCCTCTGTTACCCAGGCTGGAGTGCAGTGGTGCAATCATAGCTCACCCCCCAAGTCCCTCCCACACCTCCTCGTGGGCACAATATATGGGTGATGTATCGCCAGGGGAAGAGGGGACAGAGGACTCAAGAGCCCGAGGGACTCCAGAAGTGGGCTGTAGAGGTGGGAAACTGAGGATGAGACTCCCTGGGCCCAAGCTGTGATTTGGGATCCAGCACTGACCCAAACATGACAACAGGGGGCGTCTGAGGTGCAGGAAGCAGGTTGGGCGCAGTGATTCAAGCCTGAAATCCTGGCGCCTTGGGAGACTGAGACAGGAGGATTGCTTGCGGCCAGGACTTTGAGATCAGCCTGGGGAACATTATGAGACCCCTGTCTCTACAAAAAATAAAAAATCAGTGGGCATGGTGGTATGCGCTTGGAGGATTCCCAGGTTCTCAGGAGGCTGAGACAGGAGCTCGAACTCCTGGCCTCAAGCCTCAGCCTCTCAAGTAGCCAGGACTACAGGTGCACGTCACCCTTTGGCTGGGCACAGTGGCTCATGTCTATAATCCTAGCACTTTGGGAGGCCGAGTCAGGCAGATAACTTGAGGTCAGGAGTTTGAGACCAGCCTGACCAACATGGTGAAACCCCGTCTCTATAAAAATACAAAAATTAGCCAGTGTCACGGTGGCGACCTGTAATCCCAGCTGCTTGGGAGGCTGAGGCAGGAGAATCACTTGAACCCAGGAGGCAGAGGTTGTAGTCAGCTGAGATTGCACCACTGCACTCTAGCCTGGGTGACAGATTGAGACCCTATCTCAAAAAAAAAAAAAAAAAGCAAACAAACAAACAAAATGTGGCATTTTCCAAAAAAGCTAATCAACCTGTGACCCTCTGGGGAGGCCCCCACCCTCGGCATTCTTCCATTTCCCAAAAGGGGATAAGGGTTGCCATGGGAACTGAGGAGGTGAGGGGAGAGGGAGTCTGTGGTCTGGGTTGCTGAAGAATTCTTACCTCCATCGTAGTAGGAGTGACCCACTCACCCCAGCCTGAGGCCAAGGTGCAAATATCCTGCCCTCTCCCTCAGGGCTCCTGCCTCCCATGAGGCAGGTCCTTGCTTGGAAGATAGGGCTGGGACATCCAGCTTGGGCTCTAAGAAGGAAAGGACGGCCGAGTGCGGTGGCTCAAGCCTGTAATCCCAGCACTTTGGGAGGCCGAGGTGGGTGGATCACAAGGTCGAGAGATCGAGACCATCCTGGTCAACATGGTGAAACCCCGTCTCTACTAAAAATACAAAAAATCAGCTGGGCATGGTGGCGCGTGCCTGTAATCCCAGCTACTCAGGAGGCTGAGGCAGGAGAACTGCCTGAACCCAGGAGGCGGAGGTTGCGGTGAGCCGAGATCGCGCCATTGCACTCCAGCCTGGGTAACAAGAGTGAAACTCCGTCTCAAAAAAAAAAAAAAAAAAAAGAAGGAAAGGGCAGCTTGCTGGGCTCAGTGGTTCACACCTGTAATCCCAGCACTTTGGGAAGCCAAGGCAGACAGATCATTTGGGGGCAAGTTCGAGCCCAGCTTGGCCAACATGGTGAAACCCCGTCTCTACTAAAAATACAAAAATTAGCCGGGCATGGTGGTGCATGCCTGTAGTCTCAGCTACTCAGGAGGCTGAAGTGGGATCGTTTGAACCCGGGAGGCCAAGGTTGCATTGAGCAAAGATTGCGCCACTGCACTCCAGTCTGGGTGACAGAGCAAGACTTTTTTTTTTTTTTTTTTTTGAGACAGAGTTTCGCTCTTGTTACCCAGGCTGGAGTGCAATGGCGCGATCTCGGCTCACCACAACCTCCGCCTCCTGGGTTCAGGCAATTCTCCTGCCTCAGCCTCCTGAGTAGCTGGGATTACAGGCACACGCCACCATGCCCAGCTAATTTTTTGTATTTTTAGTAGAGACGGGGTTTCACCATGTTGACCAGGATGGTCTTGATCTCTCGACCTCGTGATTCACCCGCCTCGGCCTCCCAAAGTGCTGGGATTACAGGCTTGAGCCACCGCGCCCGGCAGAGCAAGACTTTTTTAAAAAAAAAGAAGAAAGAAAGGCAGGCTGCCAGCTGGACGCCAGGAGGATCGGTATGTAGGACCCCAAAGGGGATTTGGGTTTGAGGATGTCCAAACAGGGAGGATAGGCTGGGTGTGGTGGCTTATGCCTATAATCCCAGTGCTTTGGGAGGCTGAGGAGGGAGAATTGCTTGAGGTCAGGAGCTGGAGACCAGCCTGAGCAACATAGTGAGTCCCTTCTGTCTCTACAAAAATATAAAACATTCTTGGGTGCTTGAGGCAGGAGGATTGCTTAAGCTCAGGAGTTTTTTTTTTTTTTTTTTTTTTTTTTTTTGAGACAGAGTTTCACTCTCGTTACCCAGGCTGGAGTGCAATGGCACGATCTTGGCTCACTGCAACCTCTGCCTCCTGGGTTCAAGCAATTCTCCTGCCTCAGACTCCTGAGTAGCTGGGACTACAGGTGTGCGCCACCATGCCCAGCTAATTTTTGTATTTTTAGTAGAAACAGGGTTTCACCATGTTGACTAGGATGGTCTTGATCTCTTGACCTGGTGATCCACCTGCGTTGGCCTCCCAAAGTGCTGGGATTATAGGCGTGAGCCACTGCGCCCAGCCCCAGCCCAGGAGTTCTAAGCTGCAGTGAGCTATGATCGCACCACTGCACTCCAGCCTGGGCAAGAGAACAAGACCCTGTCTCTAAAAAAAAACAAACCAACCAACCAGGGAGAATTCTGAGTTCTAGAAATATGGTGTTTTTATTTTTTTATTTTTATTTTTGAAACAGAGTCTGGCTCTGTTGCCCAGGCTAGAGTGCAGTGGTGCAATCTCAGCTCACTGCAACCTCCGCCTCCTGGGTTCAAGTGATTCTCCTGCCTCAGCCTCCTGACTAGCTGGGATTTCAGGTGTGCGCCACCATGCCCGGCTAATTTTTTTTCTTTGCATTTTTAGTAGAGACAGGGTTTTACCATCTTGGTCAGGCTGGTCTCAAACCAGGTGATTCCCTCTGCCTTGGCCTCCCAAAGTGCTGGGATTACAGGCGTGAGCCACCAAGCCCGGCTTAGAAATGTATTATACTCTATGATCATCCTCTGGGATGACCAGCCCTTAGGGTCCCGCCTTCCTGGAAGGAAGCAAGACCCAGCCTGGGTAAGGAAAGGGCCCCAAGAAGGGAGAGTCCTGCCCAGCGAGACTCTCCCTTGCCCTAGCAGGGTGAGCACTCGCACTGGAGGGCTGGATGTGACAGGAAAGCTCAGGGCAGCCTGGAGCTGGGCTGGATCTCAGGGGGTTCCCGCAGCCCCCTGCCGTGACCTCTGCTCCCTGCACTGGGTCTTCACTCTTGGCCTCTCTGCAGTGCTCCTTAAGTTCTTCCAGCTGTCAGCTCTCTAAGACATGCTATCCAGCCCGGATGTCTGGTTGGGAGGGGAAGAGGGTGGGTCTGGGCAGCATCCTCTGGATGGACCCCCA